TCAAAATATGCCAAGTTCTGTCATCATCGAGCAAGCGTCGCTGTCCTCACTAATCAAATCCTAATAATAACTCTCATCAATCAAGATTGGACAATGACAGAGGTGGGACGGGTCAACCGGCCCATCATAATGAAATATCTGTCTGCGACGTTGCCTGGACAAAGGCAGTGTCTCTTAGCGACAAACCCTCCAGTCAGACAGACCTCTCTGAGGTCTCATCTAACAATAGAACCATCTGTCTCTGATCCGTGGTAAGGTCAGTTCAACGAGCGGCATATAATTGCGGCCCTTGGTTTTTTTAGTCAGGTACAATTCTTCAGTTTTTCAAATATTCATCCTCCCCGACCGAATATCCACACATCCAACCCGTCAAATTCCAGCGCCCACTGCCAAAATGGGCACTCCAACGCCCTATTCGGCGCATTCACCGCAACAAAGCCGAAGCAGCTTCTACTCTCAACCGTCTACGTCTCCCACCGTGAGTGTTTGACCAGAGTAGTATGGTGAAGAACGGCGAGAAAGTTGACCATGCTGTGAGCAGCCTACCTACGGTCGCGATGACGCGGAAGATCAACAACAGACCCTCCTTCGACGCAGTTTAGCAAGCCCTCATGGCTCATCATACGATGATCCCAACATATCGACCGACTCCCTGCGCCGATACACATTGCATGATCCCGGGATAACCGCATTTGCTCCCCCGTACCAGGAGTCCGAAGCCGCCGATGTACACAGCGCACGGATGTCGGATTACAGTGGAATCGAGATGGATACCTGGCAAAGGCGACAAGGGGTGAAACCGAGTGCGCTACGGCGATATGGAACAAGAAAGATCAACCTCGTCCAGGGTTCCGTGCTCAGCGTTGACTACCCGGTTCCGAGTGCGATCCAGAATGCGATCCAGTCGGAGTATCGGGATGCGGAGGAAGCGTTTCATGAAGAATTCACGCATATGCGGTGTAAGTATTTGTGCCGAAATGCGACCGCTCACAGTCGACTGAGAAGGTCTAGATACGGCCGCCACCTGCGACCCGGATGAGTTCACCCTGCGCAATGGCTACAACCTTCGTCCCGCCATGTATAACCGTCATACGGAATTGCTCATCGCCATCACCTATTATAACGAGGACAAAGTCCTGACAGCCCGAACTCTGCATGGTGTAATGCAGAACGTCCGAGACATCGTGAACCTGAAGAAGTCAGAATTCTGGAACAAGGGAGGACCGGCGTGGCAGAAGATTGTGGTGTGTCTCGTGTTTGATGGGATCGAGCCTTGCGATAAGAATACTCTGGATGTCCTCGCCACGATTGGTGTGTATCAGGATGGCGTGATGAAAAAGGATGTGGACGGGCGCGAGACGGTCGCACATATTGTGAGTCATGCAAGGCAGCGCTTTCCGTCTCAGAGACAACACTGACCATCGCTCAGTTCGAATATACGACACAATTATCAGTCACCGCGACGCAGCAGCTGGTCAGACCACAGCCCAATGATCCTCGCAATCTACCCCCGGTCCAAATGATCTTCTGCCTCAAGCAGAAGAACAGCAAGAAGATCAACTCCCATCGGTGGCTATTCAACGCCTTTAGCCGGATCCTGAACCCGGAAGTCTGCATCCTAATCGATGCTGGCACGAAACCCGGTAGCAAATCCTTGCTTGCCCTATGGGAAGCATTCTACAATGACAAAACACTGGGAGGAGCGTGTGGCGAAATCCATGCAATGTTGGGAAAGGGATGGCGCAATGTGCTGAACCCCCTAGTCGCAGCGCAGAATTTCGAGTACAAAATTTCCAATATCCTAGACAAACCGCTGGAAAGCGCCTTTGGCTACGTCAGCGTGCTACCAGGCGCCTTCTCCGCATATCGCTACCGTGCGATCATGGGCCGGCCATTGGAGCAATACTTCCATGGCGATCATACTTTGTCCAAGCGGCTTGGAAAGAAGGGTATTGAGGGGATGAATATCTTCAAAAAGAACATGTTTCTTGCAGAGGATCGCATCTTGTGCTTTGAACTCGTGGCTAAAGCTGGATTCAAATGGCATCTCACGTACGTCAAAGCATCCAAAGGAGAGACGGATGTCCCCGAGGCGGCGCCGGAGTTCATCGGTCAGCGGCGACGATGGCTCAACGGCTCCTTTGCTGCGAGTCTGTATGCCATCATGCATTTCGGACGCATCTACAAGAGTGGTCATAGCTTGCTTCGAATGTTCTTCTTGCACATTCAGATGATCTACAACTGCTGCCAGCTCATCATGACCTGGTTCTCGCTGGCATCCTACTGGCTGACCAGCTCGGTCATCATGGACCTCGTCGGCACACCCAGCTCGCATAACAAGAACAAGGCGTGGCCATTCGGCAACGACGCCTCTCCCATTGTCAACTTTTTCGTCAAGTATGGTTATCTCTTGGTCCTGATGCTCCAATTTGTGCTGGCTCTGGGAAATCGACCCAAAGGGTAAGTCCCCCGAATCCCTGGCGGATAAGTAACTGCTGACACAGACAGAACCAAAATCGTCTACACCATGTCTTTCCTTTGGTTTTCTCTGGTGCAGTTTTACGTGCTGATCCTGTCCTTCTATCTGGTCGCCAATGCCTTCATGGGTGGCATGATGGACTTCAATTTTGACCAAGGCGTGGGCCACTTCCTCGCCTCGTTCTTCAGCTCCAGCGGTGGAGGGATCGTCTTGATCGCTTTGGTGTCCACTTACGGCATCTACATCGTCGCCAGTATCCTTTACATGGATCCTTGGCACATTCTGACCAGCTCTTGGGCGTACTTCCTGAGCATGACCACGTCGATCAATATTCTCATGGTGTATGCGTTCTGTAACTGGCACGATGTCTCGTGGGGTACGAAAGGATCCGATAAGGCGGACGCCCTGCCCTCGGCGCAGACGAAGAAGGCGGACGGTACCAAGAATAATTTCATCGAGGAGGTCGATAAACCGCAGGCGGATATCGACAGCCAGTTCGAGGCAACCGTCAAGCGGGCGCTGGCTCCGTATCAGGAACCAGAGGAAGACTCGTCTATCAGTATGGATGATTCCTACCGCAACTTTCGGACCAACCTTGTGCTGCTCTGGGTCCTGAGTAATTTGCTGGTCTCGCTGCTCATCACCAGCGACGGCATCCGGAAGATGTGTCTGACGGTAAGTTCTGGAATCCCTTGGATGCGCATGAGGTAGTTACTGACCTTGAGACAGAACACATCCACGACGCGAACGCAGTATTATTTCCAAGTGATTTTGTGGGCAACAGCTGGACTGTCTATCTTTCGCTTCATTGGGTCTCTCTACTTCTTAGGCAAGTCGGGCATTTTGTGTTGCGTAGCGCGTCGGTGATTCAGAGATGGTATGCATTGAGATAGAGAACGAATGTGAAGATTAATGAATTGCATGCCTGATCCCTCGTGCCCGGATAACTCCCGAGCTTCATACCAGGAGCATACCTCACTGAAGAGACATATAACTGCCGACATTCCTTTGATTTTGGCCGTAGTCCCCTTCGAATAATCGTAGTTTCCTATGTGCTACAATCCATCTTTGCTGTCGGACTGACGCACCAGAAGACCTCCGATAATGGCAAGGACAGGAACAAATCCCCAGTGATTCCATGCTCCAAGGCCGTGGCTCCAGCACACAGCCCCGTCGGCAATGGCGACACCACTGGATGCGATCAAAGTCCAACCGAGGGACTTGCGAGTGCCGAAAAACCCGGCAGCGGAGATGGCGAGGCCCATGAAAATATCCCTCGCGCCATATACAATCATCAGGCTGTCGACGAGGCTTTGGTCTCGGGGAGCGACTGGGCGTTCAAACTCGAACAAGGACAAGGCATGGGCGGGACGCAGGATGGCGTTGATACCAATCCCGATGGGGATGATTCCCATGACGGTGGTGAGGAGCGAGATATAAGGTGATTGAGACATGGAGGAGATTTGAGATGACAAATCGAACAGGAATGAGATTCTTGATAGTCCAAATGAGATAGCTTGTTTGGGGAGGTTGAAGACGACAGATGCATCACATCATGTATTAATAATATTGGTTCGTGTCAACAAGGCTGACATTGTCTTGGCCCTAAAGGCAGCCTTGGCCATAAGCTGTCTTGTCAGCCATCAAATCCACTACGCCAAAAAGGTGTCAAGACGACTATTTCTAGCATAGTAGAAATGAATAGGCATATTTTGGTTGACATGTTTTTAGTAAGATGCCTTCACGGTGCCGCCGACATGGATTGTCTTGGTGCTGTTCCAGTTTCTCCTTTGTTCAGTACATTAATAATGATAATACTATTGCCTCGGTCAGCCTTTCAACTATCTTGAATGACACCTTTACCTATACAGACAAAGTGAGTGTCAGTTCGAGGAGGGTATCCGCTATGTAGTTGCTGAGCGCATTGCGCATGGATAACTCCACGGTAAGTGGAAAACACAACAAACTAAGATTGATGGTCTTGGGGATTATTTCCAGCTCCATCAAAGTGGCAAGCAACGGTATTTAGGCCTTTTTATTTAGGTCTTTCCTAGCGAGAACCCGTCGGCAGAAATACCGGATCTTGGTTGTGGATAGCATCAAAGCACGCTATTCCCGACGCTAAGACGAACCAAGTCGAAAAGATCCAAACACAGCGCCGAGATTTCGCTGGAAAATAAACTATTGACTTTTGACTCCTGCTATATCGCTAAAAGAACCCAGACCGGTCCCAATGTTCCTGACCAGAAGGCTTAACCGCAGCCCATGCTCGTGGGCAGCTTGATTCTGGTCTTTCTAGACGAGATATCGCCGAAAACCCACTCGGATATGGCCGACAATGTGGGCGTCGCCATACATTTCCCTGGCAAACGGAATCGCCTCAGCAAGATGGGTCCAGATATCGCACGAAAGGAGAAAAGGAACAGCCTCTCTCCATATATAACCCCATCCCCCACGGCATGTCTGCTGGATCCATGGCAGATAGATATTCGGTCCTTTTGTGAGGTTGTCAATCATCAATATGCGGTCCCTTTCTGCGGCCATTGTGCTGCCCCTGGTGCTGCTTGGCCAGCTTTCCCAGGCAGACACCGAGGTGATCATCAGCACCGAAGTCTCCTGTACGACCGAGTCGGTCAATTTGTTTATCAATCCGTCCTTCGAGACGGGCTCAATCAGTCCGTGGAATAGGTTGACCGGTCCCATCTCGGTCATCAGCGACAACTCGGACGACGGGCAGTATGTGGCGCAGCTCACCTGGGTTGCAGGCCCGAACTATGCCGTGTCGCAGACGGTGACGGGGCTGCAAGTGGGCACGACCTATACCTTCTCGTTTGACTACAGAGCCCTGTCGACCGCACCTCAAGCAGTCAGGTCTTGTACGTTTTACGCTGCGCACGACACCACTGCCGTCCTGAGATCGGCAGTATCTGCTGTTCCAACCTGGCAGACTCTGTCAGCGACGCTTACAGCCACCTCGACTTCGCACACGTTTACTATGTGGGCGAACTGTAACTATTATTATAACATCTACCATACGTCTGTCGAGTTTGACAACGCCAAGCTCCTGGGTCCTGCGCAGGAGATCTGCTCGACTGTGACCGTCAGCTCGACAGTCACTCTCACGCCCAGCTCGACGCCGGTCTTTACCCCAACTCCTTCCAGCAGTGCGGTGATCTCGGCGTCGCCCTCGAGTGAGGCCATTCCTTCATCCTCCTCGGCGATTCTGTCCAGCATAGTGGTGGCTTCACCGTCCGTACCAGTGCAGACTCCAAGTGCAACACCTTCAACCTCACCCACGGGCAGCGTGCCAGCGTCCCCGATCATTTCTGTGCCTGTGGTCTCTTCTTCTGTGGTCTCTTCTTCTGTGGTCTCTTCTTCTGTGGTCTCTTCTTCTGTGGTCTCCTCTCCTGTGGTCTCTTCTCCTGTGCTTTCTCCGTCCTCGTCGGCTGCTCTGATCACGTCCTCCGCGGTCATCCCGTCGCGTTCTGCGATCCCCTTGCCTTCACCTGGAAGCTCATCTCCTGTGTCATTTTCTATTATCCCGGTCTCGGTTCCGACTTCAACTCCATCGTCGTCTGTTTCACCATCGAGCAGCGCCGCACCGAGTTCTTTCAGTCCTGGGCCAGCAGCGCCGTCCTCGTCACCCGAGTTGTCCGCTAGCCTTCCACCCACATCCCGGGCTTCCTCTGTCCCTGCTGTGACATCCCCAAGTTCTTCCCTGGTGCTGGTGGCCACCACCTCAGCCTTGTCAAGTGCCAGTCCGTCCTTCAATCCCGCGGCGCCTTCCTTGAGCTTCTCCTCGGTGCTATCCGCCTCGAGCCCTTCTTCGTCCAGCATTCCTCAGATTCCGCCCTCATCCGGCGCAGCATCCTCTCAAGTCTCATTGTCCAGTGGGCTCCTAACCCCATCGAATCCTTCACCCGCTCCCAGTGTCGTTCCCACATCGTCCATCGCGGCATCTGAGCAATCGTCTGCAATCCCTACTTCCGCGTCACAGTTCACTACATCGACTATCCTGACCACCCGAACTGCTACCGTGACCGCATGCCCGTCCTCTGTCCCCGACTGCCCTGCGTCAGCCAGGAGTACTTTTCTGACCACTGAGACCATTGTGGTTGCGACAACGATCTGCCCAGTCACCGAGGCCACCATCTCCTCCTCCCCTACGGCTGATGCTGCCTCATCATCTCTTGGTGAATCTACCACCTCTACTATCTTCAGCACTCGCACTGCTACCATCACCGCGTGTCCATCCAGTGTGACCGACTGCCCCGCGTCCCATAAGAGCACATATACCACCACGGAAACAGTCTTGGTCTCCACCACCATTTGTCCAGTTACCGCTACCGAGCGACCTATAGTCACCGGAGTTCCTGGGTCCGTCACAACTACTGGCTCGCACGCCCAACCAGGAGGAGGTTCTATAGATGTGATCACCTCTACTGTCTTGACCACCCGCACTGCCACTGTCACAGCTTGCCCGTCAACGGTCGCCAATTGTCCCGCCACGGCAAAGAGCACATTCGTCACTACGGAAACTCTAGTAGCGTCTACTGTTGTGCTCACAGTCGAGAGGACAGCAGCTCCTACCGCTGGCCCCACGATCCCTGCATCTGGACCTCATAGTTCGTCGACTTCTGGGTCTGGCTCTACCAATGAGCAAGATACCGGCCGTGGGTCAAGCCCGGGCTCCGCCTCCAGCTCTGATACTGCTGCTGACGCGCAATCTGGCCTCGGTACTGGGGCTAGCGCACACAAGACCGGTCCCTACAACACTGCGAGCTCTGCATCATCCGGTGCAAAGGATGTCGCCGCTGTGGGGGCTCATGGTGATATCCCGAACTACAACCAAACCTTGCCTGCAAGCACTCCAACGAGCCTTCGTACATCGGCCGCAACCAGAATCCCATCCTCCAGGCCCTCTGGTTCGCCTTCGACCGCAGGTTCCAGCGCCGCCACTCTTTTTACATCGTCTCAGGCAAGTGGTTCCGGCACTATGACGGGTACCACTGCGTCAGCACTCTTTACCGGCTCTGCATCCCCTGCAGCGGCAATAAGATCTTCCTTTGGTCTCGTATTCATAGCAATTGCTACGTTGATCCCTTTCCTTTTCAGTTCGATATAATCATCACTTCTTCTACTTGATTCCTACCGCGACCATATACAAATATGTTCGCAATATTCATGGATTGAAGCCGGAATGTGATTCCATTTCGTGCTTCGCCTCTTATATAGATCTTTGTACATAGTGAACCCTCTTGCAGGAACTCCCATCCTGTAGAGATACTTCTCTTCTATTAAACATAACATGTATCCATAGCCAGGAGGCCCGTCATCTAATCTATATTCTATATTCTATATTCTATATTCTATATTCTATATTCTACATTCTATATTCTACATTCTATATCCACGACTGCGAATCACAGTCTCTTCTTCCCCTTCGGGACCCGACAAAGCCAGTAAAGGAAGACAGCCCCAAAGGTGTTAAAGGCAACGTACACCCAGAGCAGCCCGAAATCCCTCCACCGAGTCGCGACGTCAATGCTAAAATTCCTCAAGAACTGGTTCGTGTTATCAACACGACAATACCTGCATTGGCCATCGCCCTGCGCCGCAGAATCCAGCAAGTACCCTCCAGCCGCCGCAATGTACGTCTCCATGTACTCGCCACAAGTCCGGTTCGCAGGAGAAGAGAAGGCCAGTAACTCGTTGGCGGCGCAATGCATCGGCGCATCAGCCAGACTCGCCGACAACAGGCCCGAAACCAGGTACGTAAACGGGTTGACCCGATACATGAAGATCCAGAACCCAGGGAGAGCATGCGGGCCGGCGAGGATCCCGCAGAATGCGTACATCATGATGCCCATGATGTTTGCGAGCGCGGAGGCGAGTTCGGCGCTGCCGACACCGGCGATGAGGAGGTGTGCAAACGAGCTGGCAAAGAGGAATGTGGTCCAGAGAATGAGGAAGGCGAGGGTGCTCTGGGAATGGACCGAGCCGGTGTATTCTGCGTTGCGGTAGAGGCCGACGGGGTAGAACCACGCCAGGAAACACAGAACGGCCGCGATCTGAGCCATGGTTAGTCCGTGTCTGGGCATATATGCGAATGACTTACCGTGTTCCATGCGAACTCCACAACTATATTGGAGAGGACGAAAGCTTGCCAGGAGTAGGTCTTGGACTGGCGCTCGCGGGACTCGTATAGAGTTCGTTGTGTGACAAATGATGGAATGATTTGGAAGATGAGTTGGATAACGACGAAGAGGAAAACGAACACGCCGAACATCTGGTTCTGCAGTCCTTGGGCAGTATTGTCGCCTTTGAAGAAGGAGAAACCAATAAAGAGAGACTGCATTTGCATGACTGTTAGACAATATGACCGATGAATTGACAGACAATACTTACCGAGCCAATAGTCAGAATCGCCTTGGAATAGATATACGACGGCGTCCGCCAGTACTGCTGGAACACGCGACGACCAACCTGGCCCAACTGGGCAGTGAACGAGGCGGCAAACTCGGAATAGCTGGATGGGCCATCCGAATGCACAGACGAAGGTTGACCAGCCAGCTGTCTCAATCGGGACAATTCCTGGCGTACTTCCTGATACTCGGGACTACTGCGCCAGACAGCTGGCCAGTCGATATCTGTACGGGCCCCTGGCGCGGCGCCAATCACCTCGAGCATATGCTCTGCCGGGTTCACGCCTTTCGGACAAGGCGGTCCACCATTGCGAACAAAATAATCCATCAAGGTCCTTGACCCGGATCCAATCTCCCCAAAATAGACTGTCTTTCCTCCCTTGGCGAGGAGCAGGAGTCGGTCGAAGCGCTGGAACAGCATGGCCGACGGCTGATGGATAGTACACAAGATTGCCTGGCCGTTTCTGGTCAACGTCTCCATGAGGTTGCAGATCGACCAGGACGTCTGGCTGTCTAAGCCAGACGTGGGCTCATCCAGGAACAAAAGCAACTTGGGACGGGCAGCCAGCTCCACACCGATAGTGAGCCGTTTCCTTTGTTCGACGTTCAAGCCTTCTCCGGGGACACCGACAATCGCGTCGGCGTAATCTCTCATATGCAGCAGATCAATCACCTTTTCCACGTACTCCAGCTTCTCCGTCCGGCTGTATTCGGGGGGTTGCCGCAGTAGAGCGCTGAACTCGAGTGCCTCCCGGACGGTCGTAGTAGCCAGGTGGAGGTCTTGCTGTTGGACGTAACCCGTTTTCCGCTGGAATGAACTGTCCCGCTGTCGTCCGTCAACCAGCATCTCGCCTGTGACGACTCCGACAGTCGTTCGACTGGCCAGTACATCAAGCAAGGTAGTCTTACCAGCTCCAGAGACTCCCTACATACAGCATGCTTAGCCCTCTCGAGTGTCCCAACCGGGTATAGAAAGTACTTACCATCAGAGCAGTCAGTGTACCAGGTTTGATCCATCCATCGACGTGGTCGAGAATCCGTCTAGTTTCGCTTTTGATCTTCACATCGTAGCACACATCTTCCCAATGAAAAATAGATGTCTGCTTCTCAACGCCGGCAACAGGGGTCGTGGCCTCACTGTACTTTTCGTTCTGCACAGGAGAGGCAGAGAGTCGTTCCTCATCACTCTGCGCTTGCTTTGCACGCGCGATATGAGCGCTGCCACGTCGGAATACAAGTACCTCGCCTTTTGATCGTTTAGAAGCAACAAGCTCAGTCGTCACAAAATGGCACACAGCAAGGAAGACGGTCATCGCGATGATGATCCCAAAGTTCCGCCAGCGGTGGCTGTTGATGTAGCCGTACGAGGAGCGGACAAACGCGTCGCCGGAAACCACGTCCGAGCCAGGAACCGCTCCGAGAGTCGAACATACTCGTTGCGTGCTGGATACATCCTCGTAGCCGGGTCCGGCTGGTACAAAGGATGAACACGGGAATTCGCGCCCGTGGAACTCGTTAACCATGACGGCTTCGAAGCCATATGATACCGGGTTGAGCCATCGAATCCATGAAGCCCAGCCGCGCATGTACGAGACAGGAATGGCAAAGCCGGTGTATAGAACAAGGGCCAGCAGAATGATAGCTGAAGGAGCAAGGGCCTGATCGATTGTCTTGGTCATGGATGCAAACCAGCGGAAGAACATCGACATGGCCAGCATCATTGACATGGAAATCAAAAGGAAAAAGAAAAACGGGCCCGGCTCGCGCCGCAGGTTCGACATGAAGTACAGCGTGAGATTGACCAAGAAAGAGTTCATGAACTTATATGGAAGACTCATGATGAAGGAGGAAAGAGCCTCCGCACTTGGGTGGTAGTATGCGTAGCGGCTCTGTTTCTCCACGATAGTGCGTTTCTCGTACAATGACAGAATCTCGAGAATACTGGCAAAGGCGTTGAGCAAGACCATCATAAAGAGAAGGGCGCCGCGGTAGAAGAACGAGGATGTCTCTCCGGCGAGGTTGTAGAAGATGCTGGCAATGATCAGAGCCTCGAAGAAGTTTCCGATGAGCATGGCCAATGTGACGCTGGGGTCGTTCTTGAGACGCTGCCATTCCCTCCACAAACACAGTTTGACCTGGCCCCAGTAGGACAAGGTGTATGGCGACTTCTCTCGCTGATGGGGTGACTTTTCCGCCTTGCGTGAGAGGGCGAACTGGTGCAGATCGGGTCCATCGAGCGGGTGCTCGGTGCTGAACTTCTCGATTGCTTGCAATAGGGACTGCCGTTGCGGACTATCCTTCCATCTCTGGGCAAATTCTTCTGGTGTCCGAGGAGCCTTTTGCTCGAACCCGGGCTTGACAATGCGTTCGACCGGACTGCACATCGAGGTGAGGAAATCGGCTGTGGTCTGAGATTCAGGACACTGGAATCCAAGCCGCTCGAAGTAGGATTTGGCCTCCTGCGCAGCACCAAAGTATATCTGCCGTCCTTCATATAGAACAAGGACCTTGTCAAACAGCTATTCTATCCGTCAGCAGGTACCTAGCGGGCTACAGGCGTATTCACTCACATCGTATGCCGCCTGAGGGGCTTGGTAGATGGCCACACAGGAGGTAATTCCAAAGACATCACTCTGCGTGCGTAACGTCCGACAGAATTCCACGGCATTCGCACTGTCAAGGCCCCGGGTGCTATTATCCCAGCATTGTAGTGGCGAGTATCCCAGGGCGGCCTCGGCAATAGTGACTCGCTTCCTCTCGCCTCCGCTGACACCACGCACAAAGTCATTCCCCACACGCGTGTTGACTGTATGACCAATGCCAAACATGGCCATGATCACATCGCGCAGATGTCTGGCGTATTCCTGACGGGATAGCCCTCCGGGAATCACCCGCGGTGCACGAGCAAGGGCGGCAAAGTACAGCGTGTCTCCTACAGAGAGCATGGGGAAGTGAGCGTCGACCTCAGCCGTGTAGATTGCCTCGCCGCGAAAAGCCGTCGACATCTGTTTGCGGCTGATTCCGTTGTAGTTGAGATATGCCGCCGAATCGACATTCAGACCGTGAGTCTCGCCCGCAATCGTCCTGAGGAACGTTGAGCAACCGGAGCCAGGGGGACCAAGGACACACAGCTGTTCCCCGGGAAGCACGAGGCCCTCAACGTCGCGCAGAATATCCACACGCTGTTTCCCGCCTCCGAGGGCCTGTCGAATCATCGTCGGCACCTTCAAGAGAGCATTACCAACGCTCATCTGATAGTCCACGGGGCTGCCATACCCGAACACATTCAGGTTTTTGAACGCGACACCTGCCACCCGGGATTGATGGCCATTGTCCTGCGAGTAACGCGCATTGTAAAAGGCTCGGGCCCATTTTCTAGCATCAAACGAAAGGCTGTGGGGGTTGAGACTGCTGTTTTCACCGGCGCTAAAGAGGAGTGAATGATAAGACAGCTGAGATTGGGCGCTTAACTTGCGGACCAGGTCTGTCAACCGGCGGTCGACATCTTCAGGGTTGAATTTTTCATCTGGAGCAGCATCTGGGCGTTCCTCGCCATCGGGAAGCGGAGTCTCGAAAGGAGTGTCTCCCCTGCTTGACCAGCGGGTATCCGTCGAGTTCAGAGCCATAGGGATACTCAACAGGTCCAAGGATAATGTTCTCACTTTTCGGACACCAGGAAGATCGAAAGGACTTGTTCCCGAGAATATTTAAACGTGAATGCCAGTATGCGACTGATCCCTCTCGGCCGCCCGCGGATCATTTATTCAAGCAGAAGAAGATGTCTATCAAGAATCCAGGAAGATCCAGATTCCTTGGCCCTCAATGCCATGGCTCTGATTTTTGCAGCAATGGCTGCGACATGAAAGAGCTGCCTGCTCTTGGCCATCGTCTTCGGGGCCCGCGGAACCCGCACCCTCCACCGCGCCACTGGGAGACCGGGTCCCCGAAACCCCTTTTTGATGGTGCTGTCGGTCGGGATGATCGTTGGATACTTACCGTCTGAACTGCTTCCATAGACAATGAGTCACGCCAAGTCGCAATCATGTCTGCCTGGTGGCGTCTTTTGTTGCGTGTCCTTGTGGCCATCGAAACCGATCTCTGGGCGCATTAACGGATACGGCTCGGCATAGGCCTGGGAAACAAGGAAACATTGTAGGGCAATGGTTAGTAAGAGGTTCGGGAAGTGACTCCGAAAGCTTTGTGTACGTAGTTTCATCTACGTTGTCTGGATGAGATTTAGATGGCGATTCTGTTGTGGCCCATTGATCTTCTATCTACACATTTTCGGCAGCATCAGCTTGGAAACATTGTCCACCGTTTCTCGACTTCGATGCCCTGTGCCATGAATTCTATCAAGGTCGCGGTCGGATGCCGCGATTTTAGAATCTGCAGTCATCTTGTCCCGCTTGGTGACGGAGCCAGCTCCCCTCAGGCCCTGAGAAAGGCGGACTCGCTGCCGCCAGAGAGCTTCCTTGAGCTTTTCAGAAACGACCACGGCTCTGGCGGGGGATGGAGGCAGAGTGCTCATCCGGCGTCACAGCCCTTATTATGCTGGACCTGAATGGAACCTCCCAGGCCACTCGACGTGTATGTTGCCTTGTGTATAGCTATGACACGAGTGCAGAAAAATGCTTGTCCTTGGGATCGTTAGACGAATTGAGTCATGTCAAATGCCCGTCATGGTGACAAGTAACCGGTTGACACAGGATTCACTGCACGGGATCCATACCGTCATCTCGCTGCAAGGGAGCTCGATCATTGACCTTCGTCTGCTTTCGCCTTCTGCCAGAAAGCAAGACAAAATAACAAATGCATATGCATATGCTGAGTGTCGACCATTTCGGACCATTGTAACAAGAGATCCATACTTGGAGACTTGCATGAAGTCCAGAGAAATACGAAAGAGGGCCGAACAACATGGACAATTCTCATCCATACATTGGTGAAGATTATTGACAATTCTGATCCATACAGTGGTGAAGATTATACTCGTGCGGAATGCTGGACTCAAGACTGGAGAGATGGAACAATGTATCAACCGAATACGAGCGAGCACCAAGCAGTTACGGTCCTTCGGTCGCGGTACATATACATCTGGGGAAGGGCGCCGGTGTTTATACGAGATCTTAATGTCTTGGACAATCTAATTGACATCTGAAATCTGCATCGACTCCTTGGCATCATCCTGGCTATGGAATCAGCATCAAATGACACAGAGATGTAGCAGCGGTCTGCGTTGAGCTTCAGCGAAAGAACCTGTGGGCCGGAATCTATAAAAGCCCTCTCCTCTCCCCGTCAAAGTGACATCCTCAAGCCAGCTCAACCGCATCAACAATATTCTAACAGAAACAAGCATATCACTTTCATAAAGTATGCAATTCCCTCACCGCATAAGAATCAGAACTAATGCTTGCACAGGCACCATGAAGATCGCAGCTCTCGCCGCCACCTTCGTCCTGGCCCTTGTCCCCAGCGTGTCCGCCTGGCGCGTGTATTTTTACCAGCTCAAGGAGGAACAGGGTCCCTCTATCACTAATGGCGGACCTGGAAATCCCGGATTCAAGTGCTTCCCTAACGTCGACCCTCTCAACCAGAAGATTTCGTCGATGAGGTACTACTCGGACAATCCGGAGGGCACCACCCGCTGCTGTATCAAGTTCTACGACAGCCCTGGCTGCAAGGGCGACTTTGGCTATGAGTTCTGCCGCAACCAGTTCGTCAACTTTGCCGACATTGGTCATGACAATGATGTGAGCTCCTACTCGACCAACTGCGTCAGGATTTGAGCTCCGTGGTCCTACATGGTCGAGTGGCGGACGGGTGGGATGGAGACGTGATGACGACGAAAGGGTTTGTCAGGTCGATATGTATATAGAATCGACAGTACTCCAACAATACATTGCCAATACATGCCCCTTTTCATAATTTTCTCTGCTGCACTAGACTCTCCGTACTACTGCCCTGACTTATCGGCCGCCCAGAACCAGGCACATGCCAGTGGACCTCCATCTCAGTGGTCAGGACAATCCCATTCTTCGAGGGCCTGTCTCCCCTTTCATCGTCCCCTATTTTGATCATGGTCTCGTTCTCTCCTTGTCCTCGCCGGGATCCCCGCGAAATGTGGTCGAGATCATACCCCATTGGCCCGCTGCGGCTGGCTCCGTACCTGTTATACTGCGGAGCACTCCGGCTCTTGCCGCTGCTGAATACTTTGGGAATGATCATGACAAAGAGTGGTTTCAGAGCCGGCGCGCATGCTGCGATAATGGAGAGTCCTACTTCGATGGTGGAAATACAGAAGAGGACCGTGTAGGTGTAATCTGCCGGGAAGTGGCGGTCGTAGTGGTCGAGCAGGATGACCCGTACAATCCCAGAGATAACCGATCTTCGCACATCAGTCATTCAATCCTTCAGCAAACATAATTATCACTCACATAAAACCCAAGGACAAAATCCCGATCAACATCAACTTTTGACCCCGCGCGATTTTCAGGTTATACACAATCCAGGTTGGAAGGATCAGCACCAGCACGTCGGTGAAGATGGCGACACAGGCGGTTCCAGTAACAAAGTTGGCAAAATTGATACATTTCGCATTCGGGTAGGACGCAGGATCCCAGTTGGACGCAATTGGGACGCAGTGGAACATGGTGATGAGGAAGGTGGCCACCATGGCGATCCCGTTGACGATCAATAGGCCGTATATCGCTCTCCGCACGTTCATCTTCTGACCGGTCAAGCGTAACAGGAAGAGGAGGATGGAGGTTTTGATGAGGGCCAGGATGGGATTGTATAGGAGTAATGTCTGAAAGACGGTTAGTATGTAGTTAACAGCAATAGAGTCCAACGTACTGCGTAGGAGTATTTTGCTCCCAGCGCGGCGGGAAAGTCCTTCGGAACGTCCCAGACATGGTAGCCGATATACATGCACTTGATGACTGAAATATGTTAATTGTTGCAGACAAAAGGCCCAGGTATTGATCATACCATAGTAAGAAGTGATCGTCTCAGCCCAATAAAGGACCTTATTCTAGGTCAGCATGAAAATCTTTGACAAAAGTATGTCACCCACTTCTGCAAAACAAATCACCCAGTCATCTATAAGTCGTGATCAGCATGCGTCAACCCAGTATAGTACGATCTTCGAACATACCCGCTGCAAACGTCCGTGTCAGTAGTCGACTGTAGATTCGAAGGCCCACCACGATCGTAGCCGCAGCGGGAAATGCAAAGATCAGCGCAATCGCCTGGGGCTGCAGAGTATCGCTTGGGGCAGTCATCGCTGAAATCACAATCCATAGGACGGAGATGACAAGAAAGAAAGAAAGAAAGAAAGAGAAATAGATTAAGAAGCGGCCGTCAGATCCTTATGAGAGGAGCTGAAATTGCCACAGGTCGATGGAGTACGAGAGTCCTGCATTAGGGTTCGGAGGCCCATGCTGGCTTTTCTGGTCGCTTTCCTCAAATGCAACCTTTTGCCTCGATCCGAACCTTCTGCTGAGCGATACTTGTGCTATTTCAGCTAGTTGGCCAGGTGCTAACTCGGTGCCGAATGGTATTTGTATAGAACCACGCGGTTAACCAGCTAGAGGCGTCGTGCAGCTCCTGTGCCTCCTTTGGGGAATCCTCTGAAGTTGGTAAGCATTCCGGCCGCTCGTGAGACTTGGTCAAATAGTCCATGCTAAAGGGCCCAAGAGACTAAATCCAGACTGTCCTGATGAGACGCCGAGAAATTGCCGGACAACGCTACAGGACTACTCCACACCGGCTCGGGGCTTGTGCGTCTTAGTCTCGTCCTTCTCCTCGAAAGAAGTCACTGATTCACCACTTAGAACAACTACTCGTCGGTTGAAAAGTCAATAGATTGACCCGTATGTTTAGTGCAGTCATAGTCCCTCGCTGACGGAGGTCGAGAATCAGTCTCCTTCGGTGTAAGCGAGCCAAGTCGGCAAGTCTCCTGGGACAATTCGACTATTTACGACATAGACTAGTCTAGACTAAGGGTTTCGGAGGACAACCTCCGTCCCTGGCTGGACTCGACTTCCGATTTAGCTTTGTCTCGTTTCTATTATTATTGTTGGTAATCTCTCTGGGTACATGTTCGACGGCCAGCTTCTGGTACAACTAATAGGATGACACCTCAATCGACTGGAGGGGCCTCAGTCTCGATTTAATCCTTTGTCACTCTTTCTCATTATTTGGTCTTTTACTTCTCCTTCTCGTTCTTTGCTCTAAAGCCAGTTACCTATATCAACGCCGGCAGGCCGCAAGAGCCGTAGTCTTGACTTGCAGCCACGTCAATAGTTCTTATTATTAGCCAGCGCCACAAAACGTGGCCTGACCGGGTTCACAATATTATGCATACTGGCGAATGTACGTACCTAGACTAGTAGCGTGGAGCACAAATATTTTTATGTGGTAACTCATGCGCTAAAAGGGCATCGTCGTGCCGCTACTTTGTTAGCTCTTCGCACCGAGTCAGAATCCATCGAATTCTCCGAGATGAGGATCCACCTGCTTTGCGCGAAGGGCAACAGTCGGTTCGCTTCGAGATCGAGGACCCGACATCCATTGTCTTCTAGTTTCTGTTCAGGGAGTGTTTAAATATCGCCCACATAGCATGCACTGTGTTGACATGGACAGGCTACCTCCTCCTTGACCCCTGTACTAGGTCCTAGAGAATGAAGAACAGTGTCGTGGCTATCCTGGCCGTGGCCTCTGCGGTCGCAGCGCAAGAGGCCAGTGTCACGGCATCGCTGACAGCTGCCGCAACTACTGTCTCACCATCGGAAACTCTGTTCCCATCCGAAACAATTCAACTGACTGACGGAGTTCTCGCCGATGTGGCTGACACCATTCAGAATGAGACCATCTCCAGCATGTTCACCTTTGCCAGCACCAACTCCACTTCTGTATCGAAGAGGAGCTGGCACCAGTGCAAGGTAATGCCTGGAGATCGCGCCTGGCCAAACGACCTGATCTGGGGCATCTTCAATCTTCTTCTCGGAGACCGTCTGGTGAAGACGACACCACTGGCAGCATACTGTTACCCCGACTGGCCCGAGTATGATGCGGCTAAATGTGCCACTATCACGTCACAATGGATCAGTTCTAATCTCCAGTAAGTGCTTCACATCTTTCCCTGGATCGCGGCTAAACGTTAAATAGCATGGCCGACCCGGCTTCCATTATGTTGCCCCTGTTCGAAGGCCGCACATGCATGCCCCCTGGCTTCAACTACACGGACACCTGTGAGATTGGCGGGTATCCCGCTTACGTTGTTAACGCCACAAACGTGGCTCAGATCCAGCTGGCTGTCAACTTCGCCCGCAATCTCAACCTGCGCTTGGTCGTCAAGAACACCGGCCATGACTTTAACGGCAAAGCGGCCGGTAAGGGTGCTCTGTCGATCTGGACGCACTGGCTGAAGGACAAGGCCTTCTACCACCGGTACAAGGCCGCCAATGGCTACGTCGGCCCGGCTATCAAGTTCGGCTCTGGTGTACAGGTGTGGGAGGCGTATGAATACGCCAAGGCCAACGGTGTTACTGTTGTCGGTGGTGAAGCCATCACTGTTGGTCTGGGAGGTGGTTATACCGCCGGCGGTGGTCATTCGCCCTTGAGCAGTCTGTACGGCATGGCCGCGGACCAGGTTCTTGCGATGGAGGGTAAGTTCTATCTCAGTCATCAGCCCGAGTTGCGCCGGCTAACTTGGCTTGATAGTGGTTCTTGCTGATGGCCGTTTCATCACGGCCACATCCACGCAGAACTCGGATGTCTTCTGGATGCTTCGTGGCGGCGGCGGCAGCACCATCGGCGTCGTCACTTCGCTGACAGTCAAGGCACTCCCCAAGCTACCGACGACGACGGTGACCTTTAACTTCACCATCAAAGACGCCCCTAGCGCCGACGCCTTTTGGAAGGGTGTCGAGTCGTACATTGACAACTTTGAGCGCTTTGTCGATGCCGGTACGTACGGCTACTACTACCTCGGCGCGTCCGCCTTTGAGCTTGGTACCGATTATGCCGGGTCGACCGACTACTATTTCCGCATGGAGTCGTTTGTCGCCCCCAACATGACTATCGACGAGACCAAGGCTCTGCTCGCTCCGTGGTTCGATGTGCTGGACGCTCAGAACATCACCTACACTCCGTGGTACAACCACGCCGACAACTTGTGAGCTTGCCATACACCGCACGAAGAATTATAACTAACTGATCTGCAGCCATGACGTGTGGGCGGTTGCCTTCCCCCAAGAATACGTTGGAACTGCCCTGGTCAAGACGGCCTCCCGGCTGATGCCCCGAAGCGTCTTCCAGGGCGACAGTCTGCGTAGCCGGACCTTCCTTGCCCACAAGGACGCCATCGAAAAAGTAGGCCTTTCCCGCCGCATTGTCTTGACTGTCACTAACCATCTCTAGGGACTCTTCGTCGCTGGCTTCCACATCACTGGCACTGGCAAAGCCGTCACCCCGCCCACCGACACCTCCATCCTCCCCGCGTGGCGCGATGCCCTCGCACATGTCATCGTCGGCACCCAATGGACGTCCGACGCCAGCTGGGAAACGGTGAAGGACAAGTCTCTGTTCGTGACGAGCTGGATGGACGTCCTGCGCAACATTGCCCCCGACTCGGGCGCATACATGAGCGAGGGAGACCTGCTCGAACCGAACCAGCAGGAGGCGTTCTACGGCGCCCACTACGATCGCCTCTACAGCCTCAAGCAGCGGTATGATCCGTGGGGATTGTTCTTTGCGCTGACCGCGGTTGGCGCGGAGGATTGGGAGGTCCAGGTTACGGATCCCGTGCCTTACTCGTGGAACAATAACGGACGGTTATGTCCTGTTTCGTAGATCGATTGATGTATGGCAATGAATGTACATTATTTATGGAGGGAAGACTTATTAGACACAGAGCCCTGTTTTTGATTTAATCTTCCCTACAGCGACCCATCCCATGGTCATTCTGGGTATCATTTTCTGGGCTATATTCAACTGACATCTGGATAGAGCCCAGGTCTTAATGAAAGCCGTCTTGAAGGCGGCCCTTGCATTGCAGATTAATGTTGCGTGAAAGGTCGTGGCGGGGTAGTATCAATACTCCTTTTCTGGACTCTGGATGTGATCTACGTGTATATGGGCGAGCCAAGCTTTCAAACACGGGTAAGTTAGCCAGAATCATGGCTAAGCCACATCGATTTGATTGGCGACGAATACGCGACTTGCCTAAAGAAGACTAGAATTGATCGTCGTCTCTCCCGTTTGGGCGAGTTCCTCGTATTTGCTGGGCGCAGAAAGTAAAAGGGTTTGCTTCGCCCTGTCCCCTAGCATTAGTGTATGTTCTATCGACGTATAAGTAGACCTGGATATTCGGGGCCAATCTCTCATCGTGAGCTTTTTTCCCCCTCACAATGGCCTTCCACAACGACGATCGTCCCCTCTTACCAACCGACCCTTTACACCAAATCGCTCTCGACGACATGGCGTCTCCCCAAGACCAATCCTCAACCTACTACATGTACCGCGAACTAAACGACCACATGCTCATCACCACCACCCAACAACCAAAAACCCAGAAGGAGCGCCGCAAGAAGCAAAAAGAAGACCCGTCCAGCGTCCAAGACCCGAGCGGCTACTTTGTCCACAGACCGTACCTCAGCTTCGCCCACGCGCCCCGGACCCTTCGCGACGGGGGCTCCAAGGACGGACGGACTATATGCCTCATCCACAGTTTCGGTGGCTGGCGCAGGTGGCGGTTGCAATTTGGCAGGGACCTCGGGGACGCAATCGACCCCAGGGGAGTCGTGCAGTGGCAACGACGGACCAATGCCGATAACAGCGTCCAGGCGGATGACGACCTGAAAGGGTATCGGGTGCGCAGTTGGCGATTATGGGGCGAGTCCGGGAAGGCGTACCATCGCGGCGTCAACAGCAAGCGGAAGCAGGGGGAGTGGACTGAAGATGATCCTACTGCTCATCGACCTCTAAGAGCTACAGAGGCATGTCAGTTGACATGGAGTGCGCCGTTCTCGAAACGGACGAGAGAATATGCATTCAGCTACGAAGGGATTGACTTTGTATGGAAAGGTACCAAGGACTTGCCAGCGGACTGCAAATCGGCAATACGGTGGATGCCGGTGCACCATCTGAAATTGGTGGCGACCTTGCCGGCCAAGGTGGCCGATGAGACTGAGGAGGTGGTTGTGGCGTATTTTGTCTGCAGTGCTGAGGCAGACGAGTACGGGACACTCGTCGTTCAGGACTCGAAAATCTGCGAGGTGTTTGGGATCGACGAGATGCCGGAAGACATGGCATTGGCTCGCGCGAAGGGATCGAGGCCGGCAAGGGTCCATGATACCATTCTGGCCACTGCTGTGTGCATGATCATAGGCGAGTGGCAGAAGCGCAAGACAGCAGTGAGCGTGATCTTTGCGCTGATTTTTGCCGGGGCGCTAAGTCCGGCGAACATATAGATTTCAATGATTTGCTTTGACTGTAATTAGATCGTTCTGCAATGCAGCCAGAAAATGTCAACGGGAATCAGATAAATTCGGTGATAGGGCTGTAAGGATTTACCAGGATACTGTTCAGTATAAAATTGGGATAATAAAATGTTCAATTTTATGCCATGATCTGCCAGACATGATGGGCAGATCCTCCCAGGGTATCGACATAGACAACTATAATCCATGGCCAGACACCACACCATCCAAGCCGAACTAATTAAAACCTTAGATAAGAATAACATGTATGAAAGAAAGACACATCCTCAACCCCTCAATTAAGGGGTCAAGCTTCGAACAACAGCTCCTCAACACTTAGTGACCCATGCCAGCGGTGCGGCCGTGAGCACCAGGGAAGCCATAGCCTTCAGGGTACTTGCCGTACTCAGAACCCTCAGAGTACTCGTCATGCTCAGAACCCTCAGAGTACTTGTCATGCTCAGAACCCTCAGAGTACTTGTCATGCTCAGAACCCTCAGAGTACTTGTCATGCTCAGAACCCTTGGGGTCCTTGTCATGCTCAGAGCCCTTGTGGTCCTTGTCATGCTCAGAGCCCTTGTGNGGTCCTTGTCATGCTCAGAGCCCTTGTGGTCCTTGTCATGCTCAGAGCCCTTGTGTTCCTTGTCATGCTCAGAACCCTTGTGGTCCTTGTCATGCTCAGGACCCTCACGGTACTGGTCATGCTCAGAACCCTTGGGGTACTTGGGGTACTTGTCATGCTCAGGACCCTTGGGGATGGCGCCGCGGGGGTGGCAAGAGGGGATCTTGAATTCGTAGTCGCAGACACCGGTAACAGGGCAGTAAGCCGTGCCGGGACCGCAGGTCTTGAGGACTGGGATGCCGCCAGCAGCACATTCGTAGAAGTTGTGGCAGTCGTGGACGTCAGGCCAGGCGTTTCCAGGCTGGCATTGAGGGACAGCCGAGACAGCGGAGAAGAGGAGAGAGGCCGCGAGGACGGACAGAGCCTTGAGAGTGAACTGCATCTTGATACTGGGTGGACATTAGTATGGGTGATAGCCCAATACCATTGGGCGGACATACATTGATGTGTGGATTAGAATATAATCACAAAAGTAAAAATATGGACACCTTGAAGACTGAAGGTTATTCGACTGAATCGATGTCGGCTTGGAAGGTGGCGGTTGCTGGCGGTTGTTGGCGAGTTGTCGTCTGTTGAGTTGATGATTTCGAGGATGGATTGCCCGAGATTGAAGCTGGCTTTATACCTTTTTCGAGCCCCAGAGAGTTCTGAACGATACGACTCCTTTCCTAAGAGTCTCAGCATATCCTGAAGTTGATTCGTGGACTGTGCTCTCGCATTCTTCGGAAGAGATACAATAGTCAACTTTGTCGATCAAAGTAAACAAATAGCCGCTCTCAACCAGTCCCAGGAGGATCAACACTCCCCGCAGGTTCCAGACGTCATGTAAACAAGATTTGGCATTCCTAGGGCTCGGATATCGGGATACCCCTGCGTTTGCGGAGACATTACCCATGTTTGCTGGATCGGCTGTTTATTTGTTGTTCTTTTCCACGTGGTGTTCCTGTTCTCATCTGAACACTCCTATCATGGACCCCTTGTTCGCAGAATGTGCAATTCACTCAACTCACTCAATTAGCTTGTATGAAAAGGGCTAATGTTGAGGCTAATTGTCCTATGCAGTAGTGATATAATTCTAACAAAGTCCTTGAGTGATGGTTGCCAATTCTACTTAGAGATATCTGTCAGGCCGGAGTACGTGGCGAGGATATAGTCCGGTGAATCGCCTACTCATCAGTCAGGCTGGACGGATATAGACACAAACAAACACAGGACCGATCTTGTCCTCTTTCAATATCCTCTTCTTGCTCGACCGACCTCGTTTTGGGCCCTTTGGTAGTTGATGTTGTTTACACTCACTTTCAAGGGATCTTGGCAGGGGCTCGGTGGATGCCTCGAGGAATGCCTCGAGGCTCTGGACGCATTCAGACCTCGAGACAATCAGAATTACGTCAGTTGTTCTATCTATGCCTGTAGAATAACAACAATCCCATCATTGTGCCTGGTCAAAGGATGCACGAAGTCGCCGCCGTCGTATGTCTGCGTGTGCTGAAGCCAGGATTCTCATTCTCCTACTGTCTAAGATTAATGAAGGCCTTTCCTGCACTTGCCCAATATCCAATGCAAGCCTTCGCTTGATATGACTACCATGTTATATATATATTTAATGGAAGCGTTAGAGGCGTTCCAGTCCATGTAGCGATTCAAGTAGCCAACATCCCCAGCTGGCAGACAGTCTGAAATCAGTAGCTGAGGACATTGTTATAGAAAACATCCAACCTGGCTACGCAGTATGCCAAGTATTTTAAACAATCCTAGAGTCATGGGGTGTAATACTCTATGTTTGTTCTTCTTTTCAGCCACTGTAGACATGCAGTAAATATTCCCAATTCCTCAATCTCATGCTTATAACAGTCACAATGTGCGTCTCATTCATTCCATGGGATGTATCGCATAACCTTATCAAGAACATAAATATCATTTTGTGAGAATGACAATTGTTGTGTAGAAAGAATATATTATACGTCGATGGATGTGGTGAGGGTACGTGAAGCGGGAAAATATATGTTGTTGACCAACTTGTTCTCTGACTACTCAACCACCAATTGATGCCAATTTGGTGTCAAAAATCTTGACGCAGCTGCCATAATACATTAGGATAGAGAATGATAGACGACTCTCTTTCTACCATCTTTTGTACACTATTTGCTGCTTTGATGTGACAATAGCTTTGAGTGTTGAGCCCAAAACTACACTCTTCCAATTAACAGCGGACAGACCGTCAGCCAGCCAATAGCGGCAATATCTTTTATTTTCTACCTATTAATTTTGCTTCCTCGTGCTATGTAAAAGTAGTCTATTAGTATATTGTGTCTATGTGATGTTTTTAGGAAAATTCCCAAGCAGAATCGGTCAGCGATTCGACGCTTATGTGATTCTGCTTAATGTTCTTGACGTCCCCCTTGATCGCACACCATCCTGGAAGAGCTGTCAGGACCAGTGAACAATTCTATTCACTGACCCTCGTGCCTCTCCTGCTTTGCAACCCATCTCGTGTTTTCGAGTCTAGTCATTTCTTGTTTTCAGAAGCACGATACTCCCTTGAATTGAGGTCAGTTAACTGAGTATGCCAAGCACGGGAATAGTTGACTCGAAGTAACCTGAGGCAAGGGGGGAGCAGTTACAACCCAAGAAATAATGGACCACCTCTGATACCGATTGGTCAAGCTCAACTCAAAAGAATGACAATAAAACAAGGAATGCATCACTTTCTGGGAGACTGTATTTTTATCTCATATGTAGGTGAACTCTCAGGAAGGAAGGTCCATTCCGACTGAGGACATCCAGATGACTGATGCTCTGATACTGATTCCTTGAAGGTATGTTTCTTCAAGGTCTCTGTTTGTTTTTTTCATGGCAGAATGTTTCCTACGAAAGGGGAGAAACACCTAAGAGAAGAATCGCACTCGTCCCTCCAGACATGTCCACCGCGAAAAGGAACCCCGGCGTCATCCAGGCTTGACACTGTCATTTATAACAACACAGCTTCCAGTCTTTGGGAAATGCTTGATACCACGCAGATGATGCTACATGTCTGCAGGCGATGCAATCTAATAAGGACCCAGCAAGAGACTCATAGGCACTGCCGCTTCTACCTCCGAAGGTTACGGACGAAGGCACAGATTTTGTCAGGCCTCAACCAACAAGAGATTGCTGATGCTTGGTCATTGGGAGTTACCGTCATACGACGCTGTTATAGACCAGTCGAATGGAAATCGCGAAGTATCTAAACGCGCATCCTCGAGGCCAGGAGGCAAATCGGAGATACCCGCATATCGTACTCGTGTCTCTTCCTCAAACAGGTAAACTATACGATTACGAGATCACCCAAAGATGATCACTTCTCCTGCAGCGACAACAAAGTTGTCGTCATGCAATTACGATGCTTGATGAGGCTCGCACTGTAGCTGGCTGCCTGGAAATAATCAGCAGAGCTATAAAAGGGGCGTCTCCACGCTCGTCATGCAACGCAAGCATCTCCGACCGTACCGTCACCTCTAAACCGGAAACGAGCTGGAAAATGAAGTGGATTGCATCTGCTTTAGCATTTTGCATAACTATCCTTCTAGCACAGGGACTTCCAGCCCCGCAGTCAGAACCAATTGAAGTGACTGAGTTGCCTTTGCCTCCCGTGGCCCCCAGTAACCACAACGGTGCCTGTACAAAGAGCATTAACCCACATGGGACTGGCTGCATAGGGACTATCTCTGACACCTTTCAAGCTGGCGATTTTACGCCAGATGGGAACCACGTCCTTGTCAATGTCGAATTCATCGGTGCGCCAGCGGCCCCGGACCCGGCCAGCATCTACACCGGCCAGCAATTGATCGCCGTCAAGACAGATGGGTCACTCTTCCCTAACGGGGATCCATGGAAGTGCCTCAGCTGTGGCGTCCCTGCAGAGCAAGCACAGAGCCTTGGCTCCGCAAGGGATTATCCTCACGCTGCTCGAAATGGCCGTCAAGCTCTATGGGGCCCCAACATACTCGACTGTGGCGATGCCCACCTTGTGAGCGACCAATGTACCCCGAACACAACATATATCTATCCCATCTACTGGCCGAATGGAAGTATGCGAGAACTGCGCATGCATCCAGATGACCTCCACATGGGTTGGAGCTCTTTCACCAACGGAGGCCAGAATGCCTTCTTTGGGCGTTTGCAATTCAACCCAAACCCAACCACCGGCAATCCTGTCGCTCCTCGGTATGAGTTGGTGAATGTGAGCATTCTGATCGATCCAAAAGGCCGCTCCTCAATCATGGCGGAGGGAACGGAGCTCAAATTACATGACGAGGCAATTGTCGTTGGCGAGCTGCGCGGCTTTAGTGGAGCGGGGGACGAGATTCTATATATTGGTCCCACAAGAGAGGCGAACAATGTTGACCTCTTCGCGGTACACATCACATCGGGTGCTGTTCGTCGTTTGACTAGCCACCCAGAGTACGCAGATCCCATTGCATTTTCCCATGACAATCAATGGTTTGTGGTCATGGATACACGGGGATCTAACCGCCAGATGTGGATGTCGGGCATGCGATACATCCCGCCGCTGATCGACCTGGTCACCATAACTGCAGCTGCGTCTACCCGCAACAACGGTGCTCGTCGCTTCTTCCAGCCTATCCTGATTGATAGACATGGAGACCGAGGATCGTACTTTGGCCAACAGGTCAACGCTGCTGGCAACGGCACAAGCGGCAGCGTCAACGATCCGGACTGGAACGGGCGCGCAGACCCTGCCTTCTCTCCAGACGGTACGAAAATAGTCTTCTGGCAGTCCTTGGTAATTCCACCCGCATGCGGTGGCGAGAACCCTCTTCCTTGCCCCGCGTCAACCGCCCCAGGTGGTCGTACATACCGCGTGATGCTGGCCCATCTTACCAGTCGACGACCGGCCGCTCCTGCGCCTGTCTATAAAGTACCAGTTATGATCCCCTGGGCAACGGCATTTACTCCTGGCGCTGAAATTCCTTCACCCTCTCAATTGCCACCCGGATATTATACCCTTCGCGGAAAAGCACATGGCATAGCCCAAGTGCATCTCACGGCGTACCCAGGTTTTGAAGGTTTCAAGACTGTAGCTGTAAACTACACCGACTACAGCGACGACGGCCAACATTTCATCAATGGCCGGGAAACGGTGACTCTGACTTTGTCCGAATCGAGTCCCTGGTGGAACCATCTGGACTGGTACTCAGATCTAACGCAAACAGGCGCCGTGCAGGCTACCAAGCGCACAGGCCCTGGTGGATTCCACTTGTCTATCGACGCTATGACAAATATCTTCGAGGCTAATGGCACGTTGACAACTGCCGTCGATGGGATCGTCTACTCGCAGCCGGCAAATGGAACCTAGAGAATATTAAGAAGCATAGGGAAAGAATAGGATGATTCTTCAGCAGTCCGAGATCTGGACGCATGGTGGACCCTAAGCCATCAGACCGTTACTGTATATCCGTACCCAAGAATCATTGGTATCTTGTAAAGCGGTTGGTATGTCACTGTCATTCTAACAAGGAGAGCTATTCCTGCGCTACTGGCCTTTGGACACGCTATTGTGGCTAAACATCTCGGCACCCTCGTAGAGCTTAGGCGGCCTATTAAACACATCATGCACGAAAATTAAAAGCCAACATCTATGTACAACAATGTGTTTGAGCGGACAGTTGTTCGATAACTGCTGGGACGGTCTTCTCGATGATATACGCTTCTGTTCAGATCGGAGGATGGGCTGGCGACAGATCTCCTATCACCTGACAGAGTTGGTATAACCCTCCGATAGTTCGAGCTCCTCTTTGGACTCCATATACTTGGCAATCTCACTGGGATGACAGATATTGTAGGCAGCCATGGCGATAAAGATTAACAACGCATCCAGAACGTATAGAAAGATCTCATGGTGTAAGAGGAACCCATCGTTGCCCTGGAGGTACTCTGCCAGCCGAAAGATGGACCGGATGAGAATCAAAACACTAGTGCCATACAGCATATTGAGATGTTTCCTCCACGGAATATGACCCTCGAAGCAGCGCGGGATTGGATACCTTCTGAGCTTCACGTCGAAACTGCCAGCCGTGATAATGAAGAATCCGAAGAACAGTATTTGAACGAAAAGACCGGCCACGATAACGTGCTCCCCGAACTTCATACTGTCGAGACTGCCGCTGCTCTGAATGCCACCACCTAGGGTCTGCGTCAGACTGAACTTTGGATTGGGTTATGTAGGGCTGTTACCTGACCCCTGCAGCAAGAACGAGAGGACGTCACCCGTTACAAAGACCTTGGTTAACCACTTCTTCTTCAGCATCGCATGCGATTCCGCGCGTAGAACTAGTATTATCCGTCCGAGTAACATGTACACCGACGCCGCCAGAAGGGCCGGAGCGAGGAGTAGACACATCGTCTGAATCAGGTAGGGGACGAGAGTCCAATTGGGGGACTGGCTGCTCGACATGGCGCGTCCAGCATATCCGATTGTTTCGACTGTATCATGAGGTTTAGATATAGCTGGGGTAAATTTTAGGAATGTACTAACAGATCCCTCCTATGAGAAATGGAATAAAAAACCAAGTTCTTGTGCGAATAAGCTGAAAGGCATGCCATAAGGTGGTAATGGAGAATAGGATGACGAAGATCACGGCTCCGGCCATGCTAGGATCATAGTGGTAAAAGGCAAAATCAATACTGGCATCTGATGCCGCATCTGTAGTTTCATTGCGCCGCTCCATCTGGGATTTGATTATTAAAAAAAAGTAGTTGTGGTTGACTTCAATCAGGCGTCGATAGGCATGGCTATATGGCTATGAATGAGACTTTGCCAGACCGTGGATTCAGGCATCTCCAATCTATAAATCAATTAGCTGCATCCAGACGACTCTTATTATAGCAACAGGCGTTTCATCTTTATCCCATCAATATTACTTCAACGCGCTATCACAGCAATTCAGGTCTCATTTGAGCTGAAGGCAAAGGACGAGTGTACGTGATGGGCCTTCTGGAACGAGTACCATGATGTATCCATACATATCAACCAATAAAGAATCAAGTTGGAGACTCTAATCTCCTTAACACTCGTTAGTGCAGCGCTAGACTGCGGGATTCTGTGCCTTGCAGACTGGCATCTGCTATACGCGTATTCTCGTATTCGGTTTATGATAGTCAGCCATTTGTTGATGTTGCTATTATCCAGGAGGTATCATAAATCAAGGATTCAAAGGTTGATTAGTGCATCCTTTGTGCCAGACTCCACAATATTATTATTAGATATTTGGAAAAGGGCTTGCGCCTGCCCTTTGGAGAGTTTTATAGCAAGAAAACCTCTTTTACTCAGGCCGATGAACTACGTGACCATGCATCAGTGACCCCCAAGAACCAGCCTCCAGTCGAACTTTGGACAATTTCGCCATCTCATCCAACCTCTTCTGGTCTGGATCGATGTTTCCCGACTTCAATGGCTGCACCGAGCCATCAATCTGCAGGTCCGCGCACAGCAGCGCCAGCGGAGACGACTTCCAAATGTACTGGTTGCGAGTATGGATGACCGTGACGATGAAGAACAATATGCTCAGGACGACCAATACAACGGGGAGCAACATCCACAGCCACCGGATGCGGATGTACGATACGTTTGTCCACGCGTCACCGGACACCGTTCCCTGGCAGACCTGATTCCTGGCATTTGCGGTGAGCGCCGCGGCGATGGAGGCGAATGTCCCATTGATCTGAGTCAGGTCGCCGGATCCACCGTACAGTGCGCGCAGGGTATCAGACGTGAAGTATGGTCTGTTCGACACGGGCAATGTGCCGAACCCTGAAACCAGGGGCTTGAGGGTGTTTCTCGTTGCAAGGACGCTCAACCAACTGATGGCATAGTTGCACTGGCCGTCATTCAGGCAAGGTTGTGACGATGCTACGGTACTCAATGTTACATTGGTGGTGGAATAGTTGGATATAGTCGTGGTAGGAAAGCTCTCCTCTGTCAGATCGCCTCGTCTGACAATTGCTTGCTGCGTCGAGATGCAGAAATAGAATGCACATTCCATGGCCATCACCTTAGGCGGCATTGTCCTTCCCGAAGTGGTAATAGCTGAGAAATTGAGAATGAGCGGCAAGCCTGTTGTATCCAGGCGGACAAGGTTGACATTCGTGGTTGCCTTGATGGTATACGGCGAGCTCCCTGTGGTATTGAAGAAAAGGCCATTCGGAAGCGTGTAGTTGTATGAGTACGTGCGGTCGTCTGAGCTAGTCAGTGTGAGTGCACTGGTCAAATCGCCGCATTTACTGCAGAAGCCGAGCGATTGATACGGCGCAAATGTGCAATTGCCGGTTGGACAAGTCACCGAGGATTGATAATTGGGCGACGTCTGCATGATGCCATTATATATCGCTCCTGTGGTCCCCAACGGCACTAGGTTCATTCCAGGCGCTTGACCCTCTCCCCAGTCCTCATACATGCTTGTGTTGCATACCCGGATAGCGGCGCCTCCTTCGCGCGCAATGGAGCGGGATCTGACATCGATGACCTGCTGCGTGAAGGGACCAATGGCCGCAGCGAAGACTAGAACGAAGGCCCCGAGGGAAACAAGGTGACTGTCAGTCTATTAGCCTGGAGACAAATAAGTGAGAAGGATCGCGCACCGAGGCACGTATTGAACTAGGAGCTGTGCTGAACCCCAAGCACCACGACTGGCGGAATCGAGTGCAGAAAGATCACCTAATTGGCGCGTTTCCCTGAACCAAGTCCACTTGAGTTGCGACAGAGCTTCTGCAATATACGTGGCCATGGCAGCTTTCATGAGAGTCGTCAGCAGGGCGATGATGGCGTTGAGGTTGATCCCCGCTGGCCAGTTTGGCTGCGTCTTGCCGTCGTACATGCGCAGGACCACGATTATGGTAGCTAGCGTGAGGATCGCAACCAGGCATGCTGCAAGCTCCCAGGACCAGTCCCATAGTGACCATCTTATCTTCTCTCCATCAGTCGGCGGTCGGCTGTGGAACATGGTGGTGGTCGGCTGGTATGAAACATCGTGCACCGCGTCGTCAGTTTGAATGTTGACTCGAACATAATCTGATGGACCCTTTGCCACTGCCATTTTGAGAAAAATGATCATATAAAGGGGATTCTCCAATATTGGCCCCCAGCCAAGGAGGCTATGAGCGAAACCCTGAGGCACTGGAGCTGTTTCCAGTCGGCTTGAACACAGAGACAGAAGCCATCATTTAAATCTTTCTCGGGCTCTCAGCGGGTACCAGCTGTCAAATAGTCTGCCGCATATACGAAGGAACAACATGTTGGTGGCTGAACCTGACAAATGAGCGGACGCTGAGATCAGCATGGCGTACCTGGTGGTCTCTTACCCAGCAATCAGGGTCTCGAATATCAGCCTCACATTCGAGAGTCTGACAGCTCAATGAAAAGAACCACACCATTTGTATCTTGTGATGCGTTGTACATACTTTGACAGAGTTGATACTGCCCAATAAGTGCATTGCCTTGCTCGGCTGTGATCGCCCTAGTTTGCGCCGACAAGGCTGAAGGCTTCGTCCTGTGGACTAGACCACTCCAAACTTTCAATTACGGCTGTTTGATTGAGCTTGCTTATCAGGAGAGCGTGCCAGAATATCCGTCTCAATAATCTGGAGATGATCAACAGCGTTTTGTAGCAGAATAGCATGGCAAAGCTGCGAGAGAAAGTCAAGAACCTAGTAGCCTTCGCTATGGATAAAGACCCCCCTTAAAAATGCTTAGTATGCCACAATTCTCTTGCTGGCAATAACTATTTGGTGAACTCCCTCAATACCTTTTCTACCTCTGTTTGATTATTTTCCATGGCATATGATAGCGTTGGCATCCCATCAAGCGAAACTGCTGATGGGTCACAGCCCGCCGCGAGGAGTAGCTTGACTACTCCCACATGTCCACTTGCTGCAGCATAGGACAGTGGCGTGCGACCGTAGCAATTCCAACTGTTGACATCGATGTTCTTGGAGCGGAGGAGCACTCGCGCTATGCCCTTGTACCCGTGGCGCACTGCATAGACCAAAGGCGTGCATCCCGTCGCGTCTCGAGGGTTCACATTGATATCTTGCTGTGAGGAGTATCCTCACCACACCCTCCTTCCCATTTTCGACAGCGAAAGCTAACGGGCCCCATCCCACCTTGTTTGTTGAGCCCACATGGACCTTGCCAGTGGCCAAGAGACGCCTAACGATGGGTCCATGGCCCTGGATGAACCACCCCAGTCTCAAGAAGTAAGTCTATTACTGACTCCTGTCCGAATATCGCCGCGTAGGACAATACTGTGCGCCCGTATCGGTCTTTAACCTCGGCCGTGGCCTGGTTGACAGCGAGAATACCAGAGACGAAGCCCCCTCGTCCAGTCACAGCAGCGTAATGCAGGGCTGTTCTCTTTTACTTATCTTGCAATTCCGTCCGGACACCACGCTCTAGCAAGACGCCGATCGCTTCTACACTCCCATGGATACATCCCACATGCAAGGGCGTGAGACCGAAGTCATCTGGAGCATTGATATCAACGCCCCGATTCAGCAATGGCGATAATTTCCGAGCCGTTTACTCCTGCTGCTACATGCAACGAATTTCCCCCAAGCAGGCCGGGTTCCTCGGGAAGCGTAAAATACCGCACAACAAGCGGTAGATATCTGGAGGCTTGGCGATTGAATGGTAACGTTGTAGATGGGAGCGAATACTGCATTGTCGCCTCGGATACGCCTGATCCTCTGCCGCAGATCGATTCGAAGATCAACGAATCGCTTCAGGTTAGTTTCAAACATATAGTGACTTGTGCTGTCATGTTTCTCTGCAGAAGACCGGAGCAGCATCTGTTGCATCGCCGCTGTTTGCCCGACATCACCGACATCAAAACGCCGTTGGACCTGTGCTGCTAACAGGCTGGAGTCCCGTGTCCCAGGTTTGAACTGAAGGTGAGCATCGAGACAAGAAAGAAGGCTTGTTGCATAGAGAGACCCAAAGCGCTCCCCAGGCAAATAGCTCGATCCGAAATCCAGAATGATGGTGCAGATGACAGGAGCCTCCATTCAAAACTGGGAGAGTGCAGTAGTTCTGTTTACATGCTAGAGACAGTTAATGATGTATAAGCGGTACTCATTGGATATGGAGGTATCTTGTTCGTATGCATTAATGGATAGCCTTGTGTTACATAAATTTAGTCAATCGAAATCTTTCAATAAATCCAGGGTCCTGTAAATTAGCCGATATGGCTTCTCGCGAGCTAATGTACACCACCGCCCTCCTTCAAAGGATCCAGCTCCACCAGCCGCACAAAGCTGTTGGAGTCCCTCTTTTGAGGCTTGGTCTGATAGTCGACGGAGTATGACATGGTCTTGGCAATTTGACTCCTCTGTCCTTGGCGACTGGGCCCCAGACCCCTTCCAGAAGGCGTGGTGGGCTGCGGGTACGACTTATCGGAGGAACCACCCAGCAGACTAGGGAATAAGTGGGCGAGCATGGCGCGGCCGGTGGGCAGGCAGGCACAGAGAACGGCGATGTGGACTTCGATAACGGACCAGTGGACGATTGGCTGTAGTTCCACTATAGTATACGAGTTAATACTAGTGGGAGAGAATGATAGAGATAACGGCACTAACCGGTAGGATTCTTTCCCCAGCGATTGAGATAGAAGACAACGACACGGAGGATGGCGACGACGGTCAAGCTTCGTTCTGATTAGTTGATTTCTCGAGAATGGTCAAGGGACACCTACACCAGACCCATGGCGAACATGACCCCAACACCAAGCTTCTTTCTTCCAGAGAGATTCAGCTTCGAAATTTCATAAACAGGCATCAGGACCATGACAGTGTCCACGGCGATGTTGACAAAGGCATTGGCGAACGTCGCGCTGGTGAAATCGATGCATGTTCCTGGCGTCTCTCCTGTCCAGCCGTCCCATGCGAGATGGACTGGGTTGCATCGCAGGGAGTCGACAAGCACCCATGTAACTCCAATGGCAGCATTGAGTCCGATGATCGTGTATGTCGTGTATCGGAACGTGGGGGTCTGGAAGATTCGCAGGAGGAAGAGGCACACGGATATCTTGGCCAGCGAGATCTGCGTCTTGTATAAGACGACGAAGGCAAAGAAGCGCTGCGATAATATGTGAGTGTGCTGGGCGATTGCTAACAGACAACGGCATTGTGGCCTACCTTGTTCACGTCTGTGATGTTGTCCACGGGAATAACATCCCACATGTTCTTACCGAAGCCAACTTGAATCACTGAAGCTAGATTAGCCTTTTGGGATCGCTCATTACTTGGTATAGCTTACTGGCGATGTTGACGGCAAAGATAGCTACCGCTAGCACCTGCAGATGGTGAGTTTGGTCCTGCCCAGCTTATCCAAGAGATATCGTACATAAGCCCCAATAATGGTGTAGTCATCAGATCCCCAACCACCAGCCAGGCCCATGGATTTGGCAGCCATTCGGTTGAAGAAGAAGATTGAAGCGAGGATCAAAGGGACGAGTGTGGCAGCTTCCACCTCGGGCCGGCCTTGGTGCACAGGAACATTGCATGCTCGGTCGCCCAGGCGTTTTGCAACTTATCAAGTCAGCTCAGACCATGAACAATCATTGTCTTAGACGTACGCAATGATTCTCTCACGGTGCATGTAGTAGAGGCGCAAGTTGTGAGCGCATTCTGGTATATGGTGTCACCGCATAGACACAGTCCGTCTGAAGAGCTGCATGCTGTCACATTGGATGCGAGGACCTGCTCCTGACACGAGACCTACTCCTCTTAGACCTCCACTCTCAAAGAATCCAGTAATATGCGGGGACATACCGCACACTGAGGCAGACTAGACTGTGCAGCCGAAGCCACAGTAGCGAACCCTGCGCCGACAACCGCCGCAATCAATATCCGACGAAGAAGCATATTTACTGTGGGCAGAGAAGAGGGAAAAAAAGGAAGAATCATACGATTCTTCTGAGCGAAGCTTTCAGGCCTGAGACAGCCGTCAAATATGGAGCATGAGGGCAGCACGTCAGCTGAAAAATTCCTACCGACTGGTCCAAGGTACGCATAGAATCATGCTGGGGCAAATTAGCGATCTGCAGAGGCTTGACAGACTTGCTGATCGAAAAGGAAAGATCTCCACGTCTGACTCGATGATCCTCATCATTGGCTATGTTTAGCAGTCGAGGTGCAACCGTATTCTTCTCTGGGAATCTTGTCCCTGCGCTAAAACGGATGGTTGGACTAGGGGTAAGGGGGTCTTGCAGACAAGCAGGGACAAATCATCGTGCGTGCTACGTAACTATCGCTTCGTATCCAGCAATGGGATCAACAAGATTCTCTTGCTGTCGGAGACTAAGTGGGGATAATATTCCCCTTTCGTCAGGATCCCCACTGGTCAAATAGGCTCGACATGGTCGGGAAAATCTTAAAACTCTGTTTATTTCACATGCTTTCAGGGATGAGGATACAGAATCTGGCGAGAGCTGTGTATCATCGTGCAGAACCATGGTCTTATTGAAACAAACCCTTCGCAATGTTTGGTTCCGTGTCGTACTGCCCTGACTACCCAATATTCAGACTTATTGTCCCTCGGCCTGGCAGAGGACGCTACAAGGGCTGGTTGCTTCTTGGCCGTTGAGAAGATCCACTCCCGACGGCGTAAAATGGCGAGACAGGAAAGGATCTCCACTTGTGCCAGGATTTGTCACGGTCTGGATTTTCTGTCAGTCCGTCATGCAGGCTGAATAGAGCAACTCTTCCCGGGATTACAGTTGCGCCAAGATGCACAAAAAGGGGTTATATACGTAGGTTCTTGGTATCTCATTTGGGGCTTCTCGGTATCACTGACTCATTAGCATCTGCATTAAGAATGGCCCTAGGATGTAATGGCTTGTGCTCGATGTGCTAGTTTCACTTGGAAACTGACTGATTTCTGTGGCATGAAGAAGTCTACTAAGGTATTCGGCATATATCTCTCAAGCACTTGCCGGTATAGTGTGGAAAAGGGTTGTCTCGTGCTTTCTGAATTGACAACTTGATACTATCTCTAATCGAGGACAGCGTGCTGAAACGACACTGCCAGTTGTTCCAATGTCGGGGGGCACTTGCCGACGTCTCACTGTTGAGCTCATTCCGAGTCTTACATCCCGAGGAGAAGTCTAGAACGAGGCATGGAGTGAGATAATACTCCACGAGCTGTGTACTCCTCGGCTCTTCTACTCTTTTCTATTCATCAGGCCGCAGCAGAATAATCCGGTATACGCCCTGTGACAGGCCTCAGCTCCTGACTGGAGCGGATGTCGCAGCCCTCGTCTATGTCCTGGAAAGGAACAGTAGAGCTTTGCGATGCATGCGTCACTGGAAGCCCATTGCAACGGCGTTCGTCCATAATGGTCCGGTTTGAGCACATCGCAACCAGCCAACACCAGTGCCTCCACCGCCCCGGCTGAGTCCATTTGCATTGCCCAGGACAGCGGCGTCCGACCGATACGATCACCTTCATTTAGATCCACCCCTTGCTCTATGAGCCATCTCACCATCTCATCGTGTCCTTGATCGGCAGCGAGTGACAGCGCCGAGCGGTCAAAGTAGTCCCTCTGATGCGTGTCCGCTCCTTTTTCTAGCAGCAGCCGAGCAATCTCACAGTGTCCTCGAGATGCTGCCATAAGGAATGGGGTGCGTCCATGGCGATCAGGCAAATTGACCCTGACCCCTGCGTCGAGCAGGATCCTGACGATGGCCGTCTTCCCTCGACTGGCGGCCTGTGAAAGAATCGTATGGCCATAGCGATCAATCTCGTCAACCGGGGCTCCTGCATCTACCAGAAGGGCAGCGATACGTTCACGTCCGTCATGCATCGCCCAGTATAAAGCATCCTTGCCATTGCGCTCCAGCTGCTCCTTGGCGCCATGGGCTAGAAGCAGACGTACCGCATCACAACTGCCCCATAGAACAGCCCAAGTTAACGCCGAACGGTTGTCGGCAACCGATCTCCCAGCCGGGTCACCTGCTGGTACATCCGTGTTTGCCCCAGCTGCCAGCAAACACTGGGCTACTTCAATGTGATTGTTGACGATGGCCAGAGATAGCGCTGTCCCCCAGTTGTTATCTGTTCGCACCTCCAAATCAACCCCTGCGTTGACAAGCGCTTGGACGACGGCCAGTTCACCTTTGGCTGCGGCCATCCTCAACGGTGTCCAGTCCCCGACACGACCCTCCAGCCCAATCCCTTGCTGAATGATTTCCAGCGCAATGTCAATGTACCCCTCGCGAATGAAGAACATGAGCGGCACCTTTTGTGCTCCAGGTTGTAGATCAGCCGGCTCCATGTATTCGAACATAATACGAGCCTTGTCCCCGATGTCGGCGTCAACGAGGTATTCGTGCACTTCATCCCGATGGATCTCATATTGTGGATACTGATGCCGTCTCCATTCGAGCAGACTACGAAGGACTTCGGGTGAACGCCGACACATTGCGTACGTGATGAGTAATACACGAGAATTCCTAGAAGACCAAACTTTTGACGATCGTGGGAGAAGAAGTTGAATAGTTGTCTCGGTCCCGGAGAATACGGCGTGATGTAAAGCCATGTGATCTATTCCGTCCGCCACATCTACGTTTGCCACGCGTGGTAGGAGAAGCTCAATAACCTTATCTTGACCGGCGGCCGCAGCAGCCATCAGCGCCGTTGTTTCCCCGTCCACTCCCTCGATGTTTACCGTCTTGGAGTCTATTAGTTTCTGCAAAACCGCCACCTCTCCAAGTGCCGCCGCGGCGACAAAGACAACATCTGCGGACGGCAATGCCGGAGACATGGCCATCCAGGCGTCAAACAGGTACCGTAGGCGATTGCCGCGGCGGGCTGCGAAGCACCTGTCTAAGGCTAGGTATATCGGCGTCCGTTTTTCTCCCAGGGCTGTAGATGCCTGAGCGGCCGGAGATGCCCCAACGTCCAGCAGGGCTTTGATGACCTCCTCACATCGCGAGGAGGCTCTACAGCACAGGTGAAGCGGTGTTTGGCCATAGGAATTTCGAGCGTCAGGATCAGCGCCATATTGCGACAACAGTCGTACAGCCCATGGTTTCGCGTTAGAAGCCGCATGGTGCAGGGGATGCCAGGACTGGTTGTCTGGTAAGTCGGTTTTTGCTCCTCGCTGTAGCAGTAACTCCAATATATCCGGCTTTTCGGTCACAGAGCTGTCGTCGTCTGCGATCGCGGCAGCGAGTGGAGTACGGCCGTCGACATTGCGGTGGTTGATGTCGACTCCCTCGTCCAGAAGGAAAATGACGTCCGAGGTCGGTAGGTTCTGCCTGACAGCCCGGTGCAGTAGATTGTCGCCATTAGATCCAACCAGGCGGATATCCAGTCCATGTTGGACAAGAGCTCGAGGAGCGCCCCGGTCCTCTTGGGCCCAGCCAGAAACAAGCTCGCCCACCTCGCGAAAGTTGCACCTAGCCAAGTCCGCGCCGGCAGACAGAAGCATCATAATGATCTGCCTACGGTTGACTCCCGCGACGCAGGAAAGCGTTAAGTGACAATCGCATGGCGGATCTGGAGGGACACCACAGTCCAAAAGCCGTGCCACGATCTCAACGGACCCAGCCGAGCAAGCGGACCAAAGGGCGAGGTGTTTGAACTTCAAGACGCCGCTAAGATTGTGGTCCAGAAGTCGATGCATGGTCTGTTGCTTCCCCACGCAATTCGCCCATTCAAGGACGCTGCAGAGCCGATTGACAGGCACGGAATAGAGGACTGGGTTGAGGAGGTCGTATGCACGGTGACATGTGCGAGCCAAAGCCGACAGACTCGGCGATGAGAGATACTGAGCTATCTCGAGAACGAGTTCAACTGGTAGCGTGCACAAGTGTTGTCGCGTCATGGTTTTACCTGCTAGTATATCCGATAATTTGTGGATGGCTCTCGAAGTCAGGACAGTCTGATATTGGGCATGTTGACCTTGACTGGTGGCATGCAGCAAGGCATCCGTCTTCAGCTTATTGGCTCAAGTCCTATTGCCCCGCGCGTGAGGCTGGGCACAAGGCTACCACAACGGCCTTTCGCATCAAGTCTATCGAAAAGAGTCATGTACCTGGGTCTGGCATTTAGTCAACTAGTTGATATCAGATTTTCCCGAAGTTTGCGCATAGATGACGTTGTCTGTACTCGAGTCTTGGGGAAAGAGTCGCAACATCTCCATATGGCTATTCGTATTCCGGATCATCGATCTTGGCGATATTTGGCAGTTGCAGCGCGCTTCGTCCTTTGATAGTGCTGAAAAGTGTGAGGACGTCAGTTTCCTAATTCAATACGGGTGCCATGGTCTCTGAACTTTTCGCTTTGTGATGGCATCTACCGCTCGACTCGTCAACATCATTGTACGCTCTCTTTCAGACTGAGCCTTCCCTGCTGTTGCTGATTATATAAGGCCGAGACAAAGCGAGTGTCCTTTCGCAGCTTTAAGTCCAGTTGCTTGAGCTCTATGGATTTGCCATGAGCGCTCCCTCGTATAAAAGAGCCGTGCACCATGGAAGCCTGGATTCTAGACGAAGTATATTGACTGATATGACGCTGCTGCCTAACCTAGACCTCGTATAGTCATCTGTGGCGTCCTTGTCCTTCTTGGCCGTGGACACCTATATGAAACTCAACAATCATATAAACCTCGCTGTCCTTCGTCCTGCGATTCTCTATCAAGCACTTCGACACAGATCAATAAGCAGGATATTAAGCATCCCCCTTGCAATTTTTCCGAGTCCTCATCGACGTTCCAGTCATCATGCCTAGCACTATCGACCATGTGGGCATCTATGCCCCCAAAGATCAGTTCGAAAGCATTATCGACTGGTACAAGAAGGCTCTGGCCCCGCTGAACTACAAGGAAATCATGCGTGTGCCAGGAGCTGTCGGACTGGGCTCCGAAACCCCGGACTTCTGGATCGCAGAGAGCGACGAGCAGGGCCGGGGCATCCACTTTGCTTTCGTAGCGCCTGGTGGGTTTTCCTTTCGTTCCTGGAGGGCGACTGACTGATGATTAGACCACGCTACTGTGGACGCCTTTCACCAGGCTGCTTTAGCGGCTGGGGGAAAGTGCAACGGAGCTCCTGGAATTCGGTCGCAGTATCATCCAAAGTACTATGGGGCTTTTGTGTTGGATCCGCTGGGCAACAATGTGGAAGTGGTAGGTCGTGATCATCCCTGGTGGAGATTCCTATAGTTATAGAGTTACTAAAGTTGACAGGTGGATCACTTGCACTAAGGATCAAGTCTGAAAGCCAAAACCATGCTGAATAAGTATTATGACTTTTTAATTGTGATTATCTCGGCTGGCTCGTGGTCTGGTCAGTTTCTTGATTGCCGAGGAGTGTTGCCCACCTGAACCATAGTTAACTGGGACTACAAATTGCGATACACTAAAATGCCTATACATACACGGATCATATCTAGTCTAGGTAGTATTAGTATCTATATCTTGGCCCATCCGTTGAAGTCAAGTGTTGACGTCATGAACGCAGCGTTGCAACGGCAGAGACAACCATCCAACCAGACGGCACCACCACCCAGACTTGGGAGCAGAGAGGTTCACCCATAGAGCTTCCTTTCGGCCGGAACCGTCTAATGGTCCCCCTCCTTGTATCATAGATAAAGTTCCGTAGTACTGGAATTGCGTGTCGCAACCTTCGATTCCGCGAAGTTCAATTCTTTTCCTGCACTTCGCGATCGCACAAGACCATGCGGGATACCCTATCTCTATCTCTCTCCCAGGCCTGACGACCATGGTGAGTGGCCGGAGTGAGGCAATTTTGGTGGTCGCGGCCGTATTCCTCGGGCTTTCCTTGATCGCGGGCAGTTTGAGATGTTTCGTTCGCTTTCGCTTGACTAATGCCGCGGGCTGCGATGACTACATGATGGTAGCTGCAATGGTGAGTCTATAAAGGTCTGCAACAGGGCGTCGCTAAGCCGACTGGACACGCAGTTCTTCAATATCGGTTTCGGCACGTGTACTATAATCGGCGCGGTGTTTGGCATGGGCAAGAAACTGGTTTACTTTGAGGAATCGATGGGGAACTACCGCAATGCCATGCTGGTGTGTGATATGAATCTGGAGACTCAAGCGCGGTGCTGACCGACCGCAGTGTTTCTGGCTTGGACAGATCTTCTATGTCGTTACTTCTGTTATCGCACGGTTGTCAATCACCGTCACCCTCGTGCGTCTCACCGTCGACAACCTCCACCGGAGCATCCTCGCTGCCGCCACCGTGCTGTCCATTGTCGCGGGGTCCATTTTTTTCTTCTTCACTATCTTTCAGTGCACGCCGGTCGCATATTACTGGAACCGAACGACGGAAGAGGGCCACTGCATGGACGTGGGCCGTCTCCTGGGAATCGTCTATATGTACAGCGCGGCCGCTGCAGTGTGCGACTTTACGATTGGACTGCTACCCGTCTTCATGATTGGGAGACTAAAGATGGACCGACATACGAAGATCGCTGTCATTGGCATTTTGTCTATCGGGTGCATGTACGTTACGTCTCCTACTCGAACACGACAGAAGCTGACGTTGCCCCAGTGCTAGCACCGCGGTCATTGTTCGTATCCCGTTTATCCATCTGTCAAATAGCCAAGAATTTCTATGTGAGAGCGGTCTGACCCTTGGTGGCACTGATCAGAGCGACTGACTCCCAACAGACCAGACGACGCAGGTTTCGATATGGTCGAATATAGAGACGGGGCTGGGGATCACAGCAGGGAGTTTAATGACCGTGCGACCGTTTTTGCGGGCGATCGGATGGTTACATATAGACTAAAGTAGCCAGAACGAGGCGAATGAACCCAAGTTCCAAGCATCGAGTAGGTTAGAAGCATAGTTCAAGCGAGTGAGCATAAACCTGATTAAAAAGTAAAGAACCAGCATGTCATTGATGGAAAGCAGCCCCATCCCCTCATGACCCCAGAATCCCCCAGACCGAACCATGGCACGGGCCACCACTTTCATCATGGGCTGCGGAGACTAATATTGCTTTATAACACCTCGAAACGCACTGAGGGGCTGAAATAGCTGTTTTACTAGCATCAATCATGTGTAAGCATGACCAATTAACCATCCATGAGGGAACGATCAGGTAGTCTATACCACATCCAACCCCGGCTCGATGACATCCTAAACGATGTGGCCCCCTTTCCCTACACTCTCGGGGCTTTCATTGCCTATCTCTCCGAGCACCAGTGCCTAGAAACAGTCGAGTTCTTACTAGAGACCGAACGCTACCGACGGATCTACCACTGGCTTGAGCACAAAACCGAGACATGCGAGGCCGTCCGCAAGGCCCATCTCTCCGGTCTCTGGGTCCGGCTGATCAACCAGTATATCCGGCCTCACAGCAAGCGCGAGATCAACATCCCCTGCGACATCCGCCAGCAGCTGATGCAGCAGTTCCAGAACCACGGGGATGACCCTCCTCCGCCCGAAGTGCTCGATCGAGTCGTGAATAATGTCAAGGAGCTCCTGCGGGGTTCCATTCTCATACCGTTCCTGCGGCGATCGTCCGCGACTGCGCGCGTCCAGCCGCTCTCCATGCCGTCTCTGAACGATTGTTTGCCAGAGGCGAGTATGTCTGCGCCGTGCATCGCGGATGATATAAAAGTGAACAGATGCCCGCGAGAGGACTATCCTTCCTATCGGGGGGAATCAACTTGGCGGTATAGATTCTACGGCGATCAGGCCTCGAGTTCCGCAGAGGACGACGGCGCGTATGCCAGCAGTGCGGTGATGTCTTCTGCGTCGGACAGGTCAGATATACAAGACTTTGCGGCCAAAGGGGGTGGTGGGGCGTCCAAGTCGCGCACGAGGGCAGCCACAGACCGGTCTTCTCAAGAGGACAGGAAACGTCGGGGCTGGCGAAAGAGGTTGAAGGAGGGCTTGGCGAAGCATCTTCCGCGGTCGTCGGATTGATCGAGTGTCCCGCGTAAAAAAAGATATGGAAAAGATACCCATGACGACCCTTTCGGCTTCTATGGCGTTAGTGGTGTTTTATCACATGCGTGCGTGGAGACTTTAGAAGCTAGGTTCAATGCCATTTATTGTATATCATATTTATGGGTATAAGAACATGGACCTAAAAAAAGACGTGCATAGTATACAACGATCATGATGACATCTAATCCATCTTCAAAAGCTATACCATGTCTCTAGCAGCATATCACAGCGACATCGAGGACCGTCGCAGCCTACTTGCATTTGGGGAGTTTTTCTAACATCATCAGTCATGTCCAAAATACCAGCAAGAGGTAACATACTGCTCGAGCAATTACTATCCGTAAAGTACCCATTGACGTAGCACGTCGTCCCCAGATAAGTAATTTGATCCCAGGAGCTACTCCCATTAGCATCCAGCTCGTCATAACCCAGTATCAAACCTACCAAACCCCATTGAAGCAATCGCCATGCTTCCAGCACGCAAAGGTGAATTTTTCTCCCTTGGGAAACCCAAAGATTTCGCCTGCGCTTAACTTCGCATCGTACCGGCAGTTGACATAGTGGTCGACATTGATGATTTTGCAAGTCTGCGCTGATGCGCGCTTCTCAAGGTCCAGTTCTCCAACTGCTTCGGCTTCGGGGTCCGCGACGGGGGCGGCGACGGCCAGGAAGGGGAGGAGGGCAACTGCGAGACCGAGGAACTTCATCTTGTTTCGTTGTTAATTGACGCTTGTTCTATCGTGAGAGAACCTTGCTGAACAATGGTGTTCTTATACACTGGGACTTTCATGTCCTCGTATTGCCCATCCCGCTTCCTCGTGTTCTTGCCGAATGCTGCTATTCATAGGCAAATAGCGCGATTTATCCGAGGTGGCATTCTCGTATCCAGCCATTTTTAGTACCTTTAATATCCGGGGTTTAACATCAATAACTAGGAGTGCCAAATGGCAGCTGCAGAATACTTGTTGATTGATTCCTTTATGGGCCTTTAATAGTCAAGTCTACAAGCCAGTATGGAGAAAGTCCGAACAAGCTCATTGTAGCAACAATGGTAGCATTCGAGGTTCTTAGTCCTAATACAAAACTGCAATGACAGTATAAAGCATTGGCATAGATAGTATAATGAGCCAATGGATCTCCCTCTCACTACTACTGAGAGCCAAAATCATGGAAGTATATATTGGACAAGCTGAGTGACGTTACCAGAACACTGCAAGTCTTCAGGATAGGAATGGCCAGATAGGACAAAGGACGTCCAATTTAAAGATTAGACACTACGCAGCTTGCAGTATCAGAAAGAGAAACATATTAGATCGGTAATTCCTGTCCCTTGAGGTACTCAGTAGTTGTCATTTTGGTGTAAACGAGTAGTATGATATGGGTAATTTGGGGGTTGTGGGGCTTCTTTCTGGGGAAACTGAGATGCACATGAGTAATTGATCCAAGGCTCTAATCCTGCTGAGATATGAACCGCTAGCGTTACAGTCAGGCTGATAGAGGCATTCACTCTAAATTCATGTTATGCACTGTCAAACTAAAATGACCTATCCCAGCTCTTGTGATAGCCGGACAGTATGGGTCAAAAAGGTAAACTTCACATCTATTGGATAGGCAGCGTGAGAAAGGTCAGTGGATTTCATCATAGACTGCATCAAGAGTCTGGATATGAATATAATGATCCTAAGACAGTGCATGCATGAGTCAGAAATCCTGAAACATGATTAATGGAGTGAGTACAGGTGACGTAGCACTGAGTTAGTAGCTTTCTCTATCTGGGAAGCCTAAGCCACGTGACCACACGGCAGGAGGCATTCCAAGTATCATTGGCCAGGCATCGCACATGGTAAGTGGACGAGCCAAGGTGCGTAGCCTTTTGAACTACGCCAGTTGACAAGCTTTCCCAGTTGATCCTCATTACATGGTATTGATTAAGCCCACTAAATCGATAAAGAATTATACAACAACAACTTTTTCAAACCATAAGCAATGGACGAGTTTCCGAAAAATTACAGAGTATAATGCAGATGATCCTCGCCATCCTATTGACCGATATAATACTGCTGTATCTATGGACATGAGACCCTGGACTGATGGAGCCATGTTCGGACACCAGTTTAGGCCTAGTGGTATTATTATTGTCTATAGGTACCTAGTGCTTATCCCCCCGCAATAGGATTGGAGGCTGTGTATTCTTGGTATAAATAGAGGGGTACAGGATAAGGTAGTCTCGGCCCCCTCAGCCACTTCCAATTAACGACGACCTGTCCAAATGGCCGACGATATCGAAACTAGCTTCCAGGCCGCCATCGAGGCTGGTAAAATCAACGGCGCCGTTATTTGCGTCACCGACACCGACGGCCACTTTGTTTACAACAAGGCTCTGGGAGAGCGTAGCTTGCTGTCCGGCGAAAAGCGCCCGCAGCAGCTAGACGATATCCTGTTCCTGGCCTCAGCAACTAAGCTGGTCACCACCATCGCTGCCCTGCAGTGCGTCGAGGATGGACTACTTACCCTCGATGGGGATCTATCGTCCGTCGCGCCCGACCTGACCGCCAAGCAGGTCTTAACTGGCTTTTCCGATGACGGCGAAACCCCTATTCTCGAGCCACCCGCTCGCCCCATCACCCTCGAGATGTTGCTTACACATAGCTCTGGCCTCTGCTACTTCTTTTTAGCCCCGCACATCGCCAAGTGGCGCGAAAAGTTTGCACCTCCCCAGGAGGGTGAGCGCCTATCAGTCGAGGAGATGACCAGGTACCCGCTCGGCTTCCAGCCTGGCACCAGCTTCATGTACGGCCCAGGGCTCGACTGGGCCGGCCGGATAGTGGAGCGAGTGACGGGGCTCACACTCGGGGAACGCATGCAGCAGCGCATCTTCGACCCCCTTGGCATCAATGACGCCCAATTCTACCCCGTCACGCGCGAAGACCTGCGCGCCCGTCTCGTCGACCTGAACCCGGACGATCCCGAAGCCCAAGGACGGGCGGTGCTCGGCGGCAGCGTCGACATGAACAAGCGGGGGCGTGGCGACTTTGGCGGCCACGGCCTATTCATGTCGGGCGCCAGCTATATCAAAATCCTTCACTCGCTGCTGGTCAATGACGGAAAGCTGCTCAAACCCGCGACCGTCGACGAGCTGTTCCAGCATCACCTGTCTCCTGAAGCGACGGCGGGGCACCAGGCCGCATTGACCTCTCCTATGGGCAGCTTTTTTGGCGTAGGCCTCGACACCGGAACAAAACTGGGGAAAAGCCTGGGCGGCTTGCTCACCCTGCAGGATCTGGATGGCGGGTACGGGGAGCGGACGCTGACCTGGGGCGGCGGACTGACCTTGATCTGGTTTATCGACCGCAAGAACGGGCTGTGCGGTGTTGGCGCCATCCTAGCCGCGCTGCCGTTCGACACCGACACTGTAATGGCGCTGAGGCAGACGTTCCGCCGCGACGTTTACCGCAAGTATGCTGCATTCAAGGGGCAGTAGGTGTCATTTGCAATTATGCGTAACGAATAAACGGATATAAACAGAAATCGTAAAAAAAAAAAAAAAGATTGAAACCGCATGATTTGTAGGGCATTGTGCTCGTCGAGCCATTAACTACTTGAAAGAGTCTATTATTAAGCTTCAGGGCTCCCATGGTAGCTTTCTGGTAGCCCCAGATTTACCCCCCACGTACGATATCCGTTAGCCTGGCCAGTCCGCCTCGGAACTCACTGGAGCGGGGAAAACTCAACTTCTCTTTCTTCCCGCCTACCGCGCTCCTGGCTGGGGCTTATGCTGGGCCGTATATGGCCAACCTTCGTCGACATCGATTCACAACCATGCCAACTGAATCTGAATCAGGAATTCAATTGACAGAAGGAGATGGCTCTAGCGCATCCGATGGCGACATAGGGTTCATCAGGCGTGGCTTCGGAGAAGTTCATGCTGTCAGGCAAGGTCTCTTCCAGCGGCACATTCAGATGATCGCTCTTGCTGGCACAATTGGCACCGGTCTATTCCTCAGCTCTGGCCAAGCCCTTGTAATGGCAGGCCCACTGGGTGCATTCCTTGCCTACTCTATTGTTGGCCTTGCTGTTTCGAGCGTCGTCCTGACTGTTGGAGAGATGGGTGCTTTAGTACCGCTCAGCGGCGGTCTCGTTCGTTATGCGGAGTACTTCTTCGACCCAGCCATGGCTTTTGCCAACGGATGGAATCAAGTATACTTATACGCGGTCACTCTCCCCGCTGAGATAGTGGCCGCCTCGGTTCTGGTTGAATTCTGGATCACCGTTAACGACGCAATCTGGATTACCGTCTTCAGCGTCCTGGTGCTTATTACTGCGCTGGTGTTCGTCAGAATTTATGGAGAGCTCGAGTTTGCATTCGCCATCTTGAAAATCCTGCTAATCATTGGGGTAAACATCATGGCGCTGGTGATCACTTGCGGTGGAGGACCGACTGGTGAATCCATCGGTTTCCGATTCTGGAGAGACCCAGGGCCTTTCGTTCAGTATCTTGGGATCGAAGGTTCTCTTGGCCGGTTTCTTGGTTTCTGGACAGCTCTAGAGAATGCAGTCTTTGCATACTCGGGCATCCAGAATATCACGATCCCAGCGGCTGAGACCAGGTTTCCACGGCAATCAATACCAGAGGCAACCAAGCGCGTCTTGTACCGCATCTTCCTCTTCTATGTCCTGTCGATCTTCATGATGGGCTTGGTTGTTCCGTCGAATGATCCTACTCTTCTTCATCTGACCGGCACGGCTTCTCAGTCCCCATTTGTTATCGCGGCTCGCCGGGCAGGGATCAGGACCGCACCCTCAGTCATTAACGCTGTTATCCTGACTTCCGCCTGGTCCGCTGGGAATTCATATATCCTTTTTGGATCCCGCATTCTCTATGGCATGGCGGTCCACGGCCATGCTCCTGTCGTATTTAAACGGCTGAACCAGTTCTCTGTCCCTTATGTGGCTATCAGCTGCATCGGGAGCTTCATGTGCTTGGGATATATGTCCCTCTCCCACTCATCAACCGTAGTCTTTCAATGGCTGCGTGATATTGTAGCAGTTGCAACATTGGTGGACTGGCTCATCGTCTGCATCGTCTACCTCCGATTCTACTACGGTTGCAAGAAGCAAGGAGTCGACCGACACAAAGAGCTTCCATGGGCCGCGCCGTTCCAGCCCTACTTCACCTGGGCGTCTCTGGCCTTGTTCACCCTCTTGCTTATCACCGGTGGCTTCACCACATTCATCAGCGGCCACTGGGATACCGAAACCTTTATCTCATCGTACATCAACATCCCCATCATTCTGGGTCTATATTTCGGCTACAAATTCTGGAGGAAAACGCGCATTATCGCTCTGGAGAATATCCCACTGGTCGGTCTGATTCAGTTCTATCTGTCCCACGAAGAGGCCGAACCGGAACCACAGCCTAGAAAGGGGTTCGCAAAGTTCAACATTCTTTGGTAGCTGCTTTCTGTGCAGTCGAGTTATGATGCAGCCGAAAGCTCAGGTACGGCTGCTAGTTCTGGGAGTGTATCTTGTACATAGAGACTATTCCTTGGCATGTGGATTTTGAAGGTAAATGTGCATATCCACAACAAGCACTTTTAATAGATGATTCTGTACATCAGTCATGATCTATGATCCCCTGGCCAATACACCATGAGCAACCGTCAATCCAATTCCCTGCTAGCTGCGTACAATAGCCCTTCATTCCTCGTAGCAACAGATCCGTTCGACCAGGACGAGAGCGCTTTGCTACGAATTATCAGCCACATCCTCTCAGTCAGGTTTGACACAAGCATACCAGATCGTTTAATCGATCTCATTAAGCCACACCCGGACGGTATCGACCCCCCTGCGCGCTGCAAGATGCCGAAGAACAGCCCGAACATTCCCTTCCACAATTTCGGTCTCCTGGGGGAAAATATCCGAAGGCTGCCAGGTCACAAAGACCTGAGTGATGGATCGCTCCCCACTCTCCAGGTAGTAGTCGGGAATCTTGGGGCGAAGACTCTGGTAGAGCGATGCTGCGAATTCTTCAAAGGAGGAGACATTTTCGTCCACTAGGACCACCTCGTTGACGCGCGTCTCGCCGGTGAGGTAGATGAGGATGGGGACGAGGCTATCGGTGGACATTTTGTGATTGTATGATATTGTTCAGGTGTACTTGAAGGCATGAGGGAGTGATACAGAGGCTTGCAGGAGATATATACACCTCATGTCCTTGGCATCTGCTCCAACGAGTCAGCCTTGCGAGAGGACTCGTAACATCTATCGTATTCGCAGATTCAGGTCTGCTAAAGGATGCGCTACGTGCGGAATACGAGGCTAAAAATGCGGTGTGTCCACATACCTCTCGTATTCTGGGGACAAAGCTAGCCGTATATGCAGACTAGTAGTTGCCATAATCACCTAGCTTTAAGGTTAGATTATGCAAGTCCCAGCCTCAGGGGAACACGAGAGAAAGAGCGCCTTGCCTGGATGACCCAATCCGCAAATCCATATGCAAGCAACCCAATTCGGAGTTTGGGTTGGGTCTAGGTAGGCCTGATCCAACCCATGTGGATATGGGTTAACCCATTGGGTGCAGGTGACCTAAGCCTCTAAAGAACGGATAACCTTATCTAGCCTAATCTAGGCCTTGATAGAGAACAATTATATCTATCTATATATAAAATAAATATCATGTTTACTACAAAAACTAGAGTTATGGTTGATTTTATATTTTAGATGATGGTGATAAGGATCGTGGTGGTAAGATGTACATATCTCTACACTACTTTTCTTCCCGAGCGTAGAGGGCACCCATACCCCTTATATAAGGCTATTTTACCTTATAAAATAGGTAATATATAATATGTATGTTAGTTAACTATCAGATTATCATATATAATATATAGATATCCTTGTGGTGTGGCTAGAATACTAGAAAAATAGGTAGCGATCGAAAGACTAGAGGTCACCTGACTAGGTAGTATGAGTTAGATCAAACGTCATGCGGATCAACCCATATTCAATGCACGACCAGTCTATCCTTGCCTTTATGAGATAATTCCATCGTCCGTCACTCCCTATCACGTCTATCGTCAGCCAGCTAGATGAAGCTTCTAGTTCCAAATCAGATTTCTTTATCCGTTGCCATGTTCTTTGTGGCTAAAGAGGCCTTTTACATCATATTTTACTATCGAGATTCCCTAAAATCGGACCGTAACCGAACCCACCCCCCTAGTGGCTCCCTCCATCGAAAAGGGGATGAACCAACGATACACTGAAGAATTTATTTCTCTGCTGGAGCAACCTGTCAATAATATATTCCTGCATTGCCGCTCTTTTCTCGTACAGTTATTGCGTATTATTAGGCCCGGTTTGCAAGTAGAGGATGCCTGCTCGACCTGGCCCCCACGCTGGCAAGGTCTCTCGGCGATCCCATCGAAAATCTCGACTCGGGTGTGGGAACTGCAAAAGGCGCAGGGTGAAGGTTGGCCTCCTACACATCCAATAACGGCATGTACTATAACAACTTGCTCTAGTGGGATGAAGTGAAGCCTAGCTGCGGCAACTGTCTGCGCCACTCCATTGACTGCGATTATGCCTTACATCCAGAAATAACTTCCATCCCATCCACAGAGGGGGAAGTGAGTCCTACATCGCTCATCGCTCAACGACAGCTACGCCTTCGTTTCCTCGTCCCAGTCCAATTCATTCCTCCAAAGAGAGGGCGTAGTTCACATCCGCTGTCGACACAACAGCGTGATGAGCCAAACCCCCAGTTGCATCGGGCTGTGGCCAAAAGCCGTTCCAGTTCACGGCCACTGACATGGCCCTCTTCCATCACTTCATCACGTCAAAGGACTTGGGAGCCTCTCAAAACCCCATGCAAACACGTCTGTCATATTCTGGGTGGGTGCAGGTCACTGACATTTCAGAATCCACATTTTGTACCAACTGAGCACCGTGGTTGTAGTTGAAACCAGCAGGGATATCGAGAGTAAAATTATTGACCCAAGATGCCTGGAGGGAGAGGATTTCGGCGCCAAAGACTCCGGGGGTGGCAATCGCCGATGTGGAGCACTCAATGGCGGGCCGATATGGCTCATGATTTCGATATTGCAATTGAGGAAAGCTGCTTTGGTGAAATTTCTGATTTTGTACCGCTGTCGTCGAATGGTTCAGGTTCAGAGGCCATATCGGAGTGCCAATACTCCTAGGCAGATGCTGTAATATTAGCCTAGACATTTTGGATATTGAGCGCGGTATCTGCACTGGCGCACATACGAATGTGAGCTGCCTTGCAAAGTGACCGCTGGCAAGACATCCAGGAATGGTCCACCTAAAATTACACAACGCCTTGTGTCTCGGATCATCCTTTGGATTGGGATGCTTTCGAACAAGACCCTGGGGCTGAGACCAAGCCCTGCATACGGAACAAGAGAGTCTGGACTCGTGTTCTTCACAAAAGGCTTTCCCCAACGTGGGTCGCGAATACTAGTACAATCTAATTATGCTACTGGCTAGTTAGAACTGCACTTGGTTAATCAAAGCTAGAAATCGTAGGAGTCAATATCTCCACTCGGCCAGGATCCACCAGGCAAACTTAGCGCCCTAACCTCCCCATAGTCCTTTTCCAGATTGGGAAATCACCATACGAATGCGAACTTCCAGCTTGGTACCAGAACATTAAGGGATAGATTCTATAAACTTGCCAGGACATTGGATCACCAGGGGTATATAACCTATCGACCCCGGAAGTGGCATCATGCACCTCCAATCTTTCATCCCGGTCACCAAGTGCACGCCACAATCTGCAGCCAATTCTCCTACCCGACATCGCCTTGCATCACCAAGATGACCTCAATCGACAAGACCTACCGTTCTATGCCAACCGCACCGACGGACCATCAAGCTAAATCGGATGTGGCCAGTGCAATCACTCGAAATCCAAACTGGAATTATTCACTTTTCGATTGCTGCTCACCAGGTTCACTCTGTGAGTACCCATTAACATCCTCTACTTCTGGCTCAAACTGACATGGCTATCCATCAAGGCTTCACAAGCTGCTGTCTTCCATGTCTTACGTTTGGCAAGACCCAGGCCAGGGTGCAGGATCCTACTCTACAAAACTTTAGTAGTATTAACTCGGAGGTAACTACACTCAAATAATACCAATGGCTTACTAGGCTAACCCTCGCCTTGCAGTGCACCATTTTTACAGTTCTCGCCCTCGGATATTGCCATTGGATTATTCAAACGATTCGGCGGAGTGAGATGCGCCAGAAGCATGGCATTGAGGGTTCCTGTCCTGGAGACTGCTGTGTCACCTTCTGGTGTGGATGCTGTGCATTGATCCAGGAGGAGAAGGAGATGGAGTTGCGGACGAGACCTGAGCTGACCGGGTATCAGAGTACAGCGCAGATGGCGTATCCTTCTTAACCATTGGGCGTTTTATTTAGTTGGGGACTATGGATGTGCTGCTTGTTCTGCTTATTTCCCTCGTTTCAGCCTGGTCTCTGGGCATTTATGGCAAGACTCCTGTGTTTTCATTTTACCAACTTTCGTTCTCATATTTCCTTTGTTATAATTGTGGGTGTATATTACTTGGACCAGAGAGTGGGTATCTGTTGATATTGTTACTGTATCATAGCCACCTTAGTTATGTGATCCTTCCCCACTCTGCAATAGAATTTTCCTGCACACTGACTTATCTCTACAATGGTTTTGAGACGACAAAGGTAGTAATAAACTCTTCAACAAGTTGGAGGCAGCTGCATCAAGGCCGACGATACTTAGCTGGCTGAGTACTGCGCAATTATACACCGTGCTCTTGATCTTAAGGACTATTTACATGTAGAACAATGCTCCTTCTACTTGTCATTGTTAGATCAATCTATGTCCTCGAACAGATCGCCGTTGCCCGCCCGCTCTTGGCCAACCATGCGCTCTCCAAATCCTCCACATACTGCACATTATTATGCAGCGGAATGGAATAACTGCATCTCTTCTGCCCACAGGGCCGTGGCACATCGACGCCCCCTTTCTTCACCCAGGAGTACTCCTCGCCCAATGACCTGATCTCGCTATTCCCCAGCATCTCCCGCACCGTCTGGATTGCCGAGTCCACCGCCCCCGCGATCCAGGTGTGATGGTGACTCAGATGCTCCCCGGCAAAATAGACACTGCCCTCTGCGCGGCGGGAAGCCTCATAAAACCGGCTGAATTGCCCAGGGAGGAACATTGCATCCCCCGTGGCAGATTCCTGACTCCAGCATACGTCAAAGGCGTCGATGAACTCGTCGGAGATGTCGATGCCGGTGTCCGCGTAGAACCTCTGGAGATCGTGTAACACAAGCGACACGCGCTGGTCCCGAGGGAGAGACCCCATCCGGTAGGCGTCGTTCATCCAGCAGTAGAGCAGCAGCACGCCGGACCCGGCGCTTCCAATATCATTGGACGGATACACAATCCAGCGGAATCGGAGGTCCGTCACGCTCTGTCCACCGAGGCATGGGGTGGGAAGCTTCTCCCAGAAGCGGGTCCGGAAGTGAAGGCCGATCTTGTAGAGGGGTTCGTAGTGGACCGCACGCAGGGCCTGCTCTTTCATGAAGGACCAGGTTGGCCGTTCGAGGATGCTGTGCAGGGCGGCGGGGGGAATCGCCACCACGACCTTGTCAAACGTGGCAGAGTGTGCACCGGCAGACAGCGTGATGGTTCCGCCTGGGTTTTCCTTGATCGAGTCGACCCGCGCGTTGAGATGGATGTGCTCCCGGCCGATGAGGTTCGCTGCACTCTCAGTGAGCCGCGACATGCCGCCGCGGACCGTGCTCCAGTCCCTGGTATGGAAGTCGAGATTCTGCATCATGATCTCCGTGCAGCTCAGATCGTACTGATTTGTCTGACTGTTTATCAGTTCGACAAAGTCGATCACCTCGTGCGGCCACCCGACTACGAAGCGCAAGTACGTCCGGAACGACATTTCATCGAGCTGATTCAGCTGTCCAAACCCGGTCGGGAAGTCCTTGTGAAGCAGGCTCAGCCACGGGGTGACCGCCTCGCCCAGCAGCTGACGTGCGGATTTCCCGTGATACGCTGTCGGCAGGCCACACTCGGCCGCGAGGGTGGCATCGCCGACATTCACCTTGCGGTTGCGGATGAAGGCAATGTTGTTGCGCTGTTCAAGAACGTACGGGATGAGTTCAATCTTGTCTTCGTGGCGACCGTGGGTGTTGAGGTAGCGGATGAACTGGTACACACGAGAATGCAGGGTCGAACGGGGGATGCGCATCGCCCCGGCTTCAAAGTAGATATCTTCATTTGGGTTAAGAGGTTGGAAACGATGGGTGTAGATCCGTCCGCCGATGCGGGAACTGGCTTCGTAAAGAGTGACTCGGTGGCCTTCTCGTTGGAGAAGAAGTGCCGTATATAGACCGGATACACCGGCGCCGACGATGCCTATTTCCATGCTGGAATAGAGGAAGCGAGTACAGGGGAACAGAGGAGAGAGAATACACCAATTCCCTCAAGGCGAAGTAGTGACTAGTAGGTCACCACACATCCGTCACTTCACTTTCATTGTAAGGAGATGTACCCTGGATCCAGCGTGACTATTGCTTCATTTGGATATTGTTAGACCACTCCTTGCCATGCAGCATGGGTAAGATTATTCTTTTATATGAATGGCAGATGGATACACTCTAATTAGCCTAGATATGCATTGATTTAGTTTATTATGACAGACAAAAGTACCGAGCCTCATTCAAGGATCAGCCAAATGCTTGCTCTTTTTATCTTGCCCATGGAAGAAACCTAGCCAATCTAGGTTCACCGCGGATGGATTCATATGGCACTATTATTCGCTCATGGCAGGGATTGTATTTCTAAGGCTCTCCGAACATGGTTAATGTGGGGTCAATCTATGGTGAATGTAGCACCATTAATAATCACTCGATAGATAGGCTTTGAAGGCAAAGAAGACATCTTTATAGCCCTCATTACCTGGCGCTAGGCATGTAGTAGTTAGCTTGGACCTTTGCAGCATCACCGTCTTTAATCGAAGATTTTGATTAACCAACGCCTATATCCACTTTCAGGGAAAGCATCTCATCTCATGGACCCCCAAAGGAGGGCAGATCACGTCATCAATCCCTGCGGCCACATCAAGGCAAGAAACATTAAACCTGTCTCAACCCGCCGTTCTTGACCAGTTTGTCCCGTTCATCCATCGTGGCCATGAACACGGCAAACTTTCTCCTGCCACAAGCAGACATCGAAGCAAAAGAACCCATTCCCACCAACCGACCCGTTCAGCTGGACGAACAAGAAAACCCTAGATGCTGGTCTGCGGGGAAGAAATGCAAGTAAGACTCTGACGTATTTGTGACCTATACTGACGCTGGGACAGGGATCTGTACGGGGATTCTCGTATTGATGACTGCGACGATTGCCTTCTGCTCTAGCATCTACACGGCCGCCATTCCGTCCATTTCACATGCGTACGGCTGCTCGTCAACCGTTGCCACACTAGGCATCACCACCTTCCTGTTGGGTTTCGCGTCTGGGCCCCTGCTGTTTGCACCGCTGTCTGAGGTCTGGTACGAACCGGCATTGCAATCCTTCAACTTCTGCAGGAGAAACAAGCTGACGCAACCGGTCAGGGGTCGCAATACGATCTTCCGGCTCGTGCTGGGGCTCTTCGTCCTTTTCCAGATTGGATGTGCTCTGGCCCCCAACGTGGCGTCGATGATCGTTTTTCGCTTCTTTTCCGGCTTTTTTGGATCTCCAACCGTGACCAACTCTGGTGGGTCCATCACCGATATCTGGCCCCAGGACAATCGGTCTGTGCCGCTGGCCCTCTTCTCCGCGGCTAGCTTCCTGGGGCCTGTCATTGCACCCACGGTAGGTGGTTTCATCTGCCAGTACACGTCTTGGAGGTGGAATTTCTGGGTGGTGCTGATCCTCAGTGGTCTCTGCTACGTTGCCATGACGGTGTTTCTCCCCGAGACATATGCCCCCAAGCTGCTGGTGGACAAGAGACGATGCATGCCGGGCTATTCTGCAGCCAATCAACCCCCGGTCAAGGAGATGCTATACACGACGCTCACACGGCCCTGGCTGATGCTCTTCACGGAGCCGATCCTGTTCTTGCTGTCCCTGTATATGGCCCTTGTCTACGGTATCCTCTACCTCGATTTCACGGCCTACCCTGTCGTCTACCGTGAAACACGCGGCTGGTCCGCCAGCATGGCAGGACTTTCCTTTTTGGGGATCTGCGTCGGCATGGCCATCGCCACGCTGATCTCGCCATATGTCAATCGAATCCATGGCATCTACGTCCGGCGCCTGGGCGGTCCCCAGCCGGAGGCTCGTCTCCCGCATTTGATCGTCATCTCATGGCTAATCCCCATCAGCTTGTTCTGGTTTGCCTGGACGGCGACCCCGCCCACACATTGGATCTCCGGCATCGTTGCCGGCGTGCCCTTTGGGTTTGGCCTCATCCTGCTCTTCCTGGGGATCACGTCATATCTGACAGACTGCTACGGCCCATTTGGGGCGAGTGCTTTGGCAGCCAATGCGGTGCTGCGATCCCTGTTTGGAGCCGTGTTTCCCCTCTTTTCGACGGATTTGTATCATTCCCTGGGGACATCGTGGGCAACGAGTCTGCTGGGATTCGTGGCTCTGGCGATGGCGCCATTGCCGTGGATGTTTTACCGGTTTGGGCCGCAGATCAGGTCGCGGAGCAAGTATCATCTGAAGACGAGGGAGTACGATGAGTAGATATATAAGCAGCGAGGCGTTCTCTTCAGTCGCTCCAGATCAATCCATCACTGTGTAACTTCAAAGGATCAAGAGTTCTAGCAGACATCATGCCATCTCCTCCAATTGTTGACTTTAGCGATTTCCTCTCTGGTGATCCAGAGCGCAAGAAGAAGTGCACCGAGGCCATTGGACATGCCTGCCGTACACTGGGATTCTTTCAGATCACCAACCATCCGATCCCACTGAGCCTGCAGAAGGAAATGTTCAAGCTATCCAAGGAGTTCTTTGCCCTTCCCTTGGAGGAAAAGATGAAGCTAGACAAATGTATCCCCTCCTCCCCTCAAACAAATAAACGTAACTAATATTCCCAGCCCAAAACGACCACAACCGTGGCTACGAAGTCATGTACGGTCAGATGATCGAAAAGGACACCAAGCCCGACCTGAAAGAGGGTTACTATGTTGCCCAGGATCTTCCCCCGGACCACCCTCAAGTCCTCTCCAAGAAGTTCGCCCACGGACCCAACCTCTGGCCCGAGTCGCTGGGCCCGCACTTCCGAGACACCTGCATGGACTACCTCAGCCAAGTGACTGCCCTCACCGAAAAAGTACTGCAAGCCATCGCCGTGTCCCTGGGCTATGATGAGTCTTACTTCGACGAATTTTGCACTGAACCCATGGCCTTCTACAAGCTGCTGCACTACCCGCCCCAGCCGGCCGACGCCGACCCGCTGCAGCGCGGTATCGGCGCCCACCGCGACTTTGGCGTCATCACACTGCTGTTGCAGGGCGATGTGCCCGGGCTGGAGGTGTGGGATGAGGAGACGCAGTCGTATTACCCTGCGCCGCCGGTCGAAGGCGCGTATGTAGTGAACCTGGGAAATCTGTTCCAGCAGTGGACCAACGACGAGTACCTGTCGAACGTGCACCGGGTGATCAACCGGTCCAATATAGACCGGTACTCCATCCCTTTCAACTACAATGGGAATCCGGACTTTGTGATCCGGTGCATTGAGTCGTGTCGCGCAAGGGCGGAGGATGAAAAGTATGCGCCTATCTCGGTGGATGATTACGTGCGGCAGAAGTATAAGGATGTCTATGGGCGCGTGGGCATCTATTCGGTTGCTGAGCGGGCCAAGGCACAGGCCGTGGCTTAATCATACATTTATGTAGCGCTAGCTCAAGGTGCTTGTTATTTATCTTGCCAAAGCGCGGTTGCCAACAGAATTTCTCTCATTTGGACTGCTACAATCACTGCAATTGTCATTTATCTATGTTGAAAATCAGCTCTGTCATTGTTCTGAAAAACGTTGATATTACAGGGACCCCTGGCGAAAGGATTCTGGGTGCATAGCCTTTTGAGATGCAACTGTTAGATCACGGATTATATGCCTTGGTACACTTGCAATGCACCCTCGATGTTCTGGACGAGACCGAACAGAACAGTAAATACAATAGCAGACCATATACCCTATCACTGGTCCCCCTCCCGTCTATCATTGTTCCACCACGGTGTTTGAACACTCTTCTGAATCCGATCCTAGTATCGTGCAAGGATACTGCTTCAGTGGAGTGTCTCCTGCACAAACTCGTGCAGTGATCCTTCGACCCAGAGCAGGTTCTTCCGACCCGAATATACATTTGGGAATTCAGCAACGTGCTACCTTGAGTAGCATGTGCATCAAGGTTAAGAGCCCAATCAAAAACTACCAACTGAAAGAGGCTAGCAGTTGCTGCTTTAAAGATATATGAGAAAGCAAGTGGTCGTTAAATAAGGGTAAGAGCTAGAGCTAAGGCATCCGAAGCATCCAGTTCATTGCCCACTCCCCATAGTGCTCGACCTTATCCAGTGGCTGAAGATGAGGTACTACAGCAATTATTGGCTAGAGGGCTCGCCTGGGACGAAATTGAGGAGGAGTTTGGTCCGCGCTTCGCTGAGGACTTTGCGGTCAACAGCCACACTCGACACTACTGAATATTGCTGATAACAAGCTCTCCTTATACCTCCTCGCCTATCTGAGATAAACGCCGAGATTGCCTTTACGTAATTAATCTAATGAGGACCCGAAGACAAAGTACAACGTAGTAGCAGCGCAATATGTATAAGGTGTATCTTACTGCTAATATACAGGCTTCGTAGAATGGCATGGTAGCTTAAGCTAGATATTAAGGCATAACGTGCACATTATAACGTCATAAGCTCAGAAGACAAAGCATCAAAATTCCGGTGTTCATCCAATTTGCTGAGCAATATCGTACGTGCGTCCGTACGTATCCCAGCCTAGACTCTTCTGGAGAACCCTCGATTCGGTCACCATCAAGTCTGCAAATATCAAGGACATGATAATCATCGCACATTAACAAGCTTATTGCGTCGCAAACCGCAAGCTGCCGTATCCCATAAGCACATATGGTGCCCAGAAGAACGGACTAGACCAATCCAGCTGATCCAAGATCATCTTTGTTGTCCAGATCATATACTCCACATCTGGCACAAAGTCCTTTGGGCCGCGAGAGTCGCCGTCGCCTGAAGGTGAGGTCTGCATCAACTGATCGAGGTAATCTGCCGCGCGCTCACTGTCAAACTGGCCTATTTCTAACTGCACCCGTCGAAGGATACATGCCAATGGCATCGAGGGTGCTTCTTTCAACGTTCGATAAAACAATGTCATCAGCAGCATTGAGGCAAAATCGCTGACTTTACGGAGGGTCCCGATATACGCCTGACAGCCGGTACTAAGGATGACGTGAGAGAATCCCAGTATGTCGCTGCCTGTGGTCGCTCGACCCAAACCGCTTAGGCATGCCGCAAAGACGAGAAGATTGACGTTGGTTTTTATTGTGGACATGTCAAGGACACGAAAGTCTTCCCCGATCGAGATTGACGACAGAAGAGGGTTGCGATTGTCCACGTCGCCGTGAGTGCCAATGTGAAGGATGGAGGAGCTGCCCTCGACATACTTGCGGAATTCGGCTCGCGTCACATTCTTTGCATCAACTGGCCACGTTGAGAATGTTCTCGCAATGTTCACCGCTTCAATCCCCGCCAAGTGCAGATTCGCCTCTTGCTTGTCTCTCATGGTACTGGGTGCATCCGCGGAGGGAGACCGGGCAAAAACCGACACGGTTGGAGCAGCCGATTGAGACTCGCGTTGAGAAACATGATACAGGACCGTGAGTCCGGGAATTTGTGACACTGCGAAGCGTGCCATGAGGGGCTGGCCCTCTAAAACAAGTGCTGAAAAGGGAAACGCGGTCAACGGATCAGAGGTAGAGAAGATTACATGCTTCTTCTGCCTGATTGTTTTCTTGAACGGTTCGACCAGGAGCCTGGAGATTTGCTGCGCATATTCACTGAACAACTCCTTCCTCTCCTCCTCTTTATCCCCCAAATATCCAGTCATCTCTGTCAAGACCTTCATCATCTGCATAACAGGCTTCCGGATGTCGACGCTGCGAGTGCGATCTTGGTATATGTTCTGAACTCCATCGCTGGTCACGGCAAAGGCAATGAAGCCCTGGTAGCCGAACGTTGCTTCTATCACCACTGCATCTGCATCGATGCTTTGGTAAAGTAATCTCGGTGTTACAATTGAATCTGCCATATCAAAGAAAGGGCTGGCTGTTCCAGAAACTTGACCAGCTTCTACGTGGCTGATCTGACTCCGAAGCTCCCCGATCTCCTCTTCTTGCTCAGGTGTTCGTTGCCTCAAACCAAGTAGCGTCCTCAGCAGCCTGCGTTTCTGCATCAGTTCTGACAGAGCGGCTGATGGATTATGTTCGTCTTGGTCATGAGGAATCTGCGTCTTCAGAGCTTCAAGCACGGCACGGGCTCTACTTTCTTCTAGGAACAGCAGGGCATGTTCCTCCCACGACAGGTCGTCCGGATGGCCGTGATCAAGCATTTGCAGCATTTCTAATGATACCCTTGTATCCGCGCACTTGAGGCAAGCTCGTGCAAGATTGAGGTATACCTCCACCATCCATCCTGGATTGAATGTCCCAACGCGGGCGTCGACATCCGTAGTCTGTTGGCGCCGAAGCTCAATCAATTGACGGGCTTCGAGCAAACGGCGGAGAGCGACCTGCGAGTGACCATTATACAGCATGGTCGCGCCATAGTAGCTCAGACGAAAGGAATGGTCAATGACATTATCATCCATTGTATCATAGAAGGTTGGTGAGATTTGCTGGATGATTTGAACAACGCGATAGGCCCTCTCCTCGCCCTGGGACAGCAGACAAAACATAAGCGCGTTGTCTGCAACGTCTGAAAAGGTAGATTTGACTCCGATGCCCTGCTGATAATCTTTCAGGTTATCTTGAAAGAGCGCATTATCGTCCATGCTATCGAGGATCATCCGCGCCGAAGTCTGATCTCCAACGCTCCTGCAAAATAGGAGGCGATAGCAATCCCGGGCATAAGATGACTCCATGTTCTCTGTCTCATCCATGAAGCGACGGTATACTGCCTCGGCCCTTACGATGTCACCTTTGTCAAGCCATTCTTGAAATTGGAACATCGCGTCGCGAAACCTGGCAGCCATAGCATCTTCTACAACCCTTCTTTGCCACAAACCTTTCAACCCCGCTTTAGAGCAGGATAATGCAGGGGAGACGCTCTGGAAATCCAATCCGTTCTCCATTTGCTCTCTCATTTCTCGGAAGCTTTCATCGTCCTCCATTATTCCTGCAAACTTCGACTGCCACGCGTGCGCCAGCTGGGGATCTCCCAGACGCATGTACATGGTACTTACCTTTGACCCAAAGCTCGAAAGGGTATTAAATTTGTTGGCCTGAGTGACGACTCGATCTGCCTCTCCCAAATCGGTATCCGGGGCACTCTCGGCCAGGATGTCGTAATACTGACGAACTATGTCAACCATTTCTACGGCCTTGTCCACCAAGATTTTGAGCGCGGCCAGGTTGAACATTTCTCCTTGTACCCAGGCGCGAGAGACGACCGACTGGAACATGGGTAGGACATCGTCAATACTCTCGAAGATCTCATAGGCGCATTCCCATGCCACGAGGGCATTATCCATTCTGGCGAACGTGTACCATTCCTGGCGGGCGAAGCGGAATATGAGGAGTCCAAGGCAGTGGCCCACAGACTGGTTCTTTGCTTGCGCTGCCCATGTTCCGATGCCCCTTGCGGTCCGCTTGACTTTCCGGTTGTCTCCGATGGTGATATCGAGCAGGACCTGGTGGGCCGTTACAATCTGGCAATTGACTTCATCTTTCCCAAAGAGCTGTTTTGACTGTTCTAGCTTGGCACGAGCATCGTGTATGAGGGTGGATAGACTTGAATCAGTTGGTTTAAGTCGCCGCGCCGCGATATGAAGGCAACACGCTTGCCGTAGCAGAACCGCTGCTTGACCTCTCCTACAGTTGGCTCTCCCGAACAACTCCAAAGCGGCTTCATAACATTCCTTGACTTGAGAGGAGTACTGATCCTTCAGCTCAAGTTCAACAGGATCCCATAAATTGTCCTCTCCGATGGCGGAGCTGGCGTCAACAAGGACCAAGTTCAATGTCAAGGGACTGGTGAACGATGGACCTAGGAGACCATCTCCTTTCATCATTTGACAATTGGCCGTTCCCGCAAAATCTTCTTGACAGTGATATATATCATATAGATCGTTCAGCGCAGTCATCCAGTCCGATGATTGAGACGCGATGCGGAATTCCACAAGCAACCGAGAGAGATAGGCTGCGATCCACATCTCACCGGCCTTTTCAGCACTTTCACGGCATTCAATCAAGCCGGCAGCATGCTGCGCAATTATATCATCGGGATCTGCGCTTGTATTATGGAAGAGGCCACCGGGAAACAGAGGATCAAGCTCAGCATTCAGCTTTCTGGCCAGCATGGGGAACCACATGACCTCGCGTAGAATCTGACATAAAGCCTTATTGCGAACTGAGCCGGTTGCGAAATACGTCCGAACTCTTTCCATGAATCTATCGCTCATTTCTTTAGGGCCCGAGATATCGCTGAGCATGGCGATGCTCACAGGTTTTCCTCGCTCGTGGTAGAATCGGAGCGTTGGCGGGTATTGGCGCGTATAGTCCGCCAACAACATGTAGATGGTATATCGCAAGCCCCATTCTGCCGGCAGAGTGTCGAGCAAAGCATGCAAATTTTCCAAGGTCCGATATGCTTCTGCTAAATTACCGGTGATGATGGAATAAATCGCGAAACAACAGAGGTACTCTGCCTTAATCTGCGGTTCGGCCACGGAATGATCGGGACGAATTCGCTGCAGTTCCTGCCAGGCAGCATCCAGGTCGCCTCGGTACTCTTCCTGGAATAGTGATCCTCCACATACATTCCAAAACTGATCAGACCTCATTATAGAAACGGACACATCACAATGACATTGTCAGGGCGCAGGTGCCGGACTGCGGCAGTGCTTATAAGTGCCCACTTCGTCAAGCGCTACTATATCGGGACCAAGGCGAGACGCCGTCTCAGCCACCGCAGCAATCCCAGCCAGTAGATGGTGATTAACTCCCCCGCCTGGTAGGCGACAAGATTTGATGAAAATTGGTCTGGCTCAGACGTCTCCATTTGAATTCCGGTTTGCCCCGCGTATCAAATCTGTGTTCGCTCGTGCACTTAAGGGATCGAGGATCGGTCGGTCAGCAGTGCTACGGGCGGTTATTTAAACACCGTTTGTGATTTCAAACAGTTCAACGACGATATTAGATGTCAGGATGGATGCTAGTGATGACTCCTCGTTCTATCTGTACGGTATGGGCGAGAGGCCCGAAGCCCTTACCCTCGGGTCGCTGGTCCTGGAAAGATACTGGGAACCACTGGTTGCTAGACATTATACCCACGAGTTACTGAGGTTGGTGCCCATTCTCTGCGGTTAAGTTATCGCCTAACTTCTTTGATAGCCAGGAAGCACTCCAGGAGTACGCCTACGTCAGCAAGGTCTCCAACGTGATCTTCCACGGACGCTCTCGTCTGACACCTGCCGTCAGCCTCAGCGGCGGGGATATCATCGACCTCACTCTCGCGTGGAATAAGGACGCCGAGCGCATCGTGGTAGCAAAGAAGGGGGCGCGAATAACCCTGAAGGAGTACGTTCCATGACCCCTTCCAGAGCATCCACTACGCATCCTCACATGGCATAGTCCTGAAGAATTTCTGGCAACATCAGTCCTCAGAAATCCCAAGGCGCAGGAGAAGCTTAAACTATGGCTTTCAGCCGCTCGGAGTGCCTACGTCCTGAACTTCAAATTCGCACGTCGGCCAAAGGTCTGGATGCTGACTGGACTTTATCTCCTCGAAGACGCACGTACAATGGTCTCTCGCAATAACTCCAGTATGATATCCGCAGGTGTTTCCGGCGCACTCATCGGTGCGCTATCAAGCGTGGCTGTGGGCGGGTCTCTGAGTCTCGGCGAGGGCAACTCCTGGCAGATGACTACGGAACTGTCCGAGCAGCATGTTTGGGCTGCTCAGTACCGCTTACTAGATGCTCGTTTTATCAAGGTGGGCAGGGAAGGTGCTGAGAGCGTGAAGCTACCACTTTCGATGGGGTTGTATCGTGATGTCTTGTCCGTGAACACCGTTAGAGGTGACGGAACCGACGAAGTGGAATTAGAATTGAAGGGTGAGAAGGAGACCGATGACGAATCCGGCCAGCATGTGGAGGATCAGGATAGTGAGGAGCTGAAGGGGTATGAGAAGCGATTAGAGGAGGCCATCTCTGTTTTTGAGAAGGCCCCATCGCATTTTTTGAAGTGATATATGCATGCCAGATCATATATAAACATTTCCTATACTCTCAGCATCGTTTCGGATATTTTAGGTAAAGTGGGATCAGGGATAGTTTGGACAAGCTTTCCACATTGTGTCTACCAAGCTTTGTGGAGAAATTATATATCTCAGCAGATATCCGCAATCTCAGCCCATACATAGCACTAGTGTTAGGACTCAAAGGGAACACCGCCCATGTAACTCGGACAAGTCTGATACAAGCGATCTAGAATACCAACAGGAATTTTCCGTCGAGGTCGAACGCACAGGTTGGACCGTTGATTGCTGTCAATCCGAAATCGCCTGGAGTGGTGACGATCACGTGATTCATAATCCCCACCACCGATTTTGTTTTCTCAGGCGGCCGAATCGAGACACTCGAACAACTTCACCAATTGACCAATAATGTCGTTATCTACAGCATCAGCAAAGCCTGAAGGCTCGAAGGAACAGCCCGAATCAACGCCAGATTCCAAGATCGATCACGCAGCGTCGCTGAAGTATTGGAACGATGTCCCTGCTACCTCCAACGGCATGCTGGCCATGCTCGGCGAGTATCCGTGGTATTCCCGCATCGACCTACGAGGATCGAGGGCCTTCTTGGCTAAAGTTCGTCGACTTATACCGTCCTGCAGCACAGAAGGCAAGCTCAAACTGGGGGTGGACTGTGGTGCAGGCGTCGGACGGATAACGGAAGGGTTCCTCAGCCAGGTCTGTGAGGTTGTGGATGTTGTGGAACCGGTCGCGAAATTCACCGAGGTTGTGCGCAACAGCTCTCTGAAGAAGGATGATATTGTCGGGGATATCTACACTGTTGGGCTTGAGAACTGGAATCCGGAGAAGAAATACGATTTGATCTGGACGCAGTGGTGCGTGGGACATCTGACGGATGCGCAATTGCTTGAATATGTGAAACGGTGCCGGGCTGCCTTGACGGAGACTGGTATTATGGTAGTCAAGGAGAATCAATCCACGGATATCAACGGGGAGGACATGTTCGATGAGGTGGACAGCAGCGTCACCAGGACCGATGAGAAGTTCAAGAAGATCTTCAAGGAAGCTGGAATGACTGTCTTCCTCTCGGAGATCCAGACGGGTTTCCCCAAGAATTTTAGGCTCTTACCGGTCCGATCTTACGCGTTACGACCAAATAGCTGAGCCCTTCAGTGAAATCATCTTTAACTTCGAACATGCTGGCGTTGCAGCTCGCCCTTTCCACTTGCTCGCAACTTGGGACGTCCGCAAGATCGCTCCGAACACAATCTCAAGTAACACAGTTCAGTCTTGCATGCGGTGGAAAATGGGCTACGACAGGGTTGTACAACCACCAAGGTTGTTCCTGTCAATCCGGCCAGTAAGCACCTACCATACCCGGACTGTCTATAATGGGGTTGATCAACATCATTGTTGACGATACTCAAAGACCAATCTTCCGTCATGATTGTGATATACAGAGGAGTATTCAGCCATGTTCGACCAGAGTCCTCCTCGGATCCCGCGGGGTTTGAATCTGCGGAAGCTCGGATGGCGTGAGAAAGGCGCGAGAAACTGCCAATTGAGGCTATTAAGACTTGTTGATCCATCTTTGAAAGGCGGTCAAATCTTAGACACGTTGCTGATAGGAATGGACAAGTTGTGTTCAGGAGTAGGTAACGCATGAGTAGACCCACAATTATAAGGCAAGCAATAATCACGTGATGAATCGCGTCGCGCGATATGTTCTGCTGTCGAAAATAACTGCCAACAACAAACAACATGTAAATCGACGCTAACGCGTAGGGCATAATACTCGACAAATGGCAAACACAAAGCTAGGTAAACAACATACTGATTTCATGCGATGGGCCAAGGCCCAGGGAGTCAAGATCAATGGCGTCACACCGGCGCACATACCAGGCCGTGGGTCAGGTATGATCGCGACCAGAAACATAGAGGTGCGTAGAGGACGAACGATTTCACGTATAGATGGTTGGCTGACCGCCAATATTCTTTGCTTCAGGAGGGAGAGGTCATGATCACAGTCCCTTTGGATCTGATGATCACAATCGATTCCATCCCGGCCTCCTTCATCAAACAGTTTCCTACCGGGGCATCGATCCATGGAATCCTTGCCGCATTTCTGACAGAGGGAGATCATGAATTTCTGAAGAGATGGGATTTGTGGCGCAGAGTTTGGCCATCGCGCAAGGATTTTGAAGACAGTATGCCCATCCTGTGGCCGGAAAATTTACGGAGGTCGAATTCGGAGTTTCAGCAGACTCCCTGCGAGAGGCCCTTTCTCTTACCTCCGTCAGCTTCTGGCATTTGGAATTCATTTGAAACGAGCCAGAAAGGTAGAAAATTCGAGTCCAAGAGCCAGAACCTGCTCGCGCAGCAGGAGAAAAGGCTTCAGGACGCATGGCGGAATGTACTCACCGTGTTCCCTAACATGGATTGGGATAAATTCTCCTTCCACTGGTTAGTTCTGAACACAAGAAGCTTCTATTACGTCAAGCCCGGGCAAGAACCTCCTGAAGACTGGAATGACGCGATAGGTCTTGTGCCTTTTGCAGATTACTTCAATCATTCAGATGACGCTGTCAGTACACCCTACACCGCGTGTCGCAAGTCTCGCGAAGCTAATGGCGTGAGTAGGATTGCGAGGTCGTCTTTGATGGAGCCAAGTACACCTTTACTGCGTCCCGTCGATACGGTAGGGACTATGCGGATGCCGTCAAAGTAGATATCTGACATGGTAGTGTAGTAAAAGGAGAGGAGATCTTCATGAGCTACGGAGCTCACTCCAATGACTTTCTCTTCGTCGAGTGTAAGTACTCTTGTCGCAATGGGACCGACACGGCTGACGTAAAGCAGATGGATTTTTCCTCGATCAGAACGAGTCCGACGTTATATTCTTGGATGATATCATCTCGAATAGCCTTTCTGAAGCGGAAAAGGAAGAGCTTGCCTCCCAGCAAGGACTTGGGTAAGTGGTCGCCATATCCCCTGCGCAAGCCTGCTAATCAACAAAGGGATAGAGACTACCAAGTCATGCCTTCTGGTGTCTGCCCGCGCACGATTAACGCGGCGTGTGTCAAGTACATGCCGTCCAAGGACTTTCGAAATTACGTACAAGGCCGAGCAACTAAAGCATTCGACACGCGGAAAACCTGGAAAATTATCCGCGAGTGGATTGAAACCTACGTCCGAGAGAGCAATACAACAATAGAGGCTCTTGAATCATTAACAGCTCAAAGCGAAGGGCAAGTTGGGCATCAGAACAAGGTAGCTTCACTTCGAAGTAGGTGGGAGCAGATCAGGGTGATGTGTCAGAATGCTTTGGACAAGATAAACGCAACTCAGCTAGAGGCATGAATGAACATAGAACAAGCAAAGCTACATGGGTCGCCATCCATTTGTACTATGAATCCACCAACGCAAGGCAAACAATCAATAAACACGAAAAGGCCAATTGCCATAGTCCTCTTCAGGCCGAGGTCACTTTCGAGCATCCACACTGGCGATGTGGGCCACTAGATCCAGCACTCGACGACTGTATCCCCACTCATTGTCGTACCAGCTCACCAGCTTCACGAAATTGGAATTCAGCGAGATACCGGCTTTGATATCGAAGATGGACGAGTGTGGGTTCCCAATCATGTCCTTTGAGACGACATCGTCCTCGGTATAAGTCAGAACACCTAAAGCAATTAGATACGCTTGAAACGTTGCATACAAATGGGAAAGACGGGTCCTACCCTTGAGAGGACCATGAGCAGCCTCCTTGATTGCAGACACGATCTCCTCATACGTCGAACTCTTCTCAATGCGGCACGTCAAATCGATAACCGAGACATCCGAGGTTGGCACCCGCAGAGACATGCCGGTGACTTTACCCTGCAGCTCTGGAATCACCTTACCAACCGCCTTCGCCGCACCCGTACTGCTAGGGATGATATTCTCCGCGGCTGCACGCCCACCCCGCCAGTCCTTGGATGAAGGCCCATCAACCAGCTTCTGCGTCGCAGTGTACGCATGGATAGCAGTCATCAGACCCTCCACAAACCCAAACTTCTCATTGATAACCTTGACCAAGGGGGCGATGGCGTTCGTGGTGCACGATGCATTGGACACCACGTCCGCCGTGCCGTCATATTTCTCCTCGTTGACCCCCATCACGTACATGGGGGCATCAGCGGACGGGGCGGAGATGATGACTTTCTTGGCTCCTCCGCGAAGATGCGCTTTAGCTTTGTCAACGGTCGTGAAGACGCCGGTAGACTCGATGATGTACTCGGCTCCTGTTTCGTGCCAGGGAATGCTGGCGGGATCTTTCTCGGCGTAGAACTTCACCTTGCGCTCTTGGATGGTGAGGGAGTCTTCGGCTTGGGAGATCTCGTGCTCAAAGCGGCCGTGAGTGGAATCATATTTGAGCATGTAATGCTATTGTCAAACATTCCTTGTTAATGGATCGCGCTGTAGAGACTAGGTTAGGTTGAGTCTGACATACCGCATACTTGGGATCGATAAATGGGTCGTTAACAGCAACAACCTCGACATTGTCATGAGAGAAAGAGTTGCGAAAGACAATGCGGCCAATTCGGCCGAAGCCGTTGATGCCAACTTTCACAGTCATTTTTGGTTATTTGAGTTGTTAGATTAACAGAAGCGATGACCTTGCTTGCGATCTGAGGAAACGTCTACTGGCATATCTGCGATCGTTTTATATCACTGTCCAGCTACCATGTGACAGTGCTCTATAATCTATTATTCTATTATTATGAGCATGGTCAAAGGTGACAGAGCGTTGTAGAGCATCAGCTCCTAACAAATGGGGTAGTTCGGTGAGCCCGCCATGTCAGCATCTTGGATAGGGTGAAATCACCATTGAAAACATGGAAGCTATTTCTCCAATCACTGGAGTATAACAAAAAATTGATTGATAATTCAAGCAGGAGGGCCTTTGTCATCTGACTGATATCCAATGAAACTGATCGCTATCAGCATACCGAGTTTACCGAGTTCTTCTTTGAGCCATCTTGCCACTTCATGGGTGCAGTCAACTTCCCTTGTTTGTCGTCGTTAGGGGCGATACCCCGGATATACAGTGCCGATAGTTTCATCGACGTCATTGGAAAGGACAGGCTATAATTGCTCAGTCAATCACGATTCGCGGGGTGGCTTAATTTGTGTGGCATGCTCGTATTCGGGATATGCGACTGTGAGTCAGTCAGCACTCTCTCGGTGTCAAGATCCGTATCTCGGTGACGGACTGTATTACCTTCCATTTGTCAGCCTCATATACATCAGTAGTTATTCCGTAGTTGACCCTGAAATATTTTATTGGTGTGGTCGATCTGACAAGACGGCACCGCCTGGTAGTTAATCATAGGATGAGTCAGGTCAGATGATCGACCGCCAGGGCTGATGGCAATACCAATAGCAAGGATTCAGTAGTTCTCTACGATTCGAGCTAGAAACACTCTTTGTCCTGACAGGACCAACTGCACCCGCGGACCTCAAAACGGCCGCTTTGCCGCACCTCGTCCCTTTATCCCTATGCTCAAGCTAGGATTCTACGACCAGCTCGTAGAGTTTTGAAAGGTCGCTGACTCTACCAGCTCCCAGAGGAGATATCTCGAAATCATTACTAAATCCTTGAGCCAGAGACAAGTGACCGGGCTGGTCTGCTTGTATCTTGCATCAAAGTCTGATGCTTGATGTACTCTATCTGTTCAAAATCTCCGCTGCACACAGTCGTTTCGAGTAAGATTGCCGAATCCGTACCTCAGGGGCGATGAGGAGAAGTCACTTACCGAAGCTGTCTTCGAAATTTGGGGTCGTATTGGGGGCTTTTGTATGTCAATATCGCTGCTAGGGTTATCTGGCAGGTATTTAAGAGGTTATGAGCCAGACAGATTGGCCTGTCATTGATTGTCTTTTGGCTCAACGTTTACGACCTACTTAGAGCGTCAAAGCGTTGATGCTGAAGAAGGACGATCAAAGCTCTGTGAAGCCCTCTAGGTCTATCAGCTGGTATCAATAAGGAGGTGGTCGTAGAGAGACACTGAAGAATGTCAGCAACTCCGCTGCATGAGATCTCTCTACCGCAGCCCATATCTGGTGTTAGGAAGAGCATTCCACACCAGTGGTTCAGCCTCATCGTCAAGAATTTAGTCGAGGAAGAATGCTCACGATCAAGAATGTCAAGGCCAAGATGATGCCACTGGACCCGAGGCCCAGGGAGCTGCGTCTATCTTCTTTGGCTTTCTATGCGAGAAACCGCTACGAATAGCAATATTGCACGAGAAGGGATATCTCGCTTCTCTATGTTCCGCGTTGTATGTCTTCACAGGGCTGGACAAGCCCTGGGACGTATCACCCCATGCAAGGTTCTTAACTGGAATTCTGATATGAACGGGCACTCATGTAAGTACGCAGTATCATACTGACAGATTAAGAATCTCAGCAGTTGTAGCAGCCCATTTATTAAGCTCTCCATTTGGGCCAGCGAATAGTGGTCTTATCTAGAGCAAGGATAACTTCTCTGCAAGAATTGTGGATCATCTTGTAGGTATTAAATCATGCAGCCTCACAGGCCTTCTTCCATGGGAGTCTGAAACTGTCTCAGTTAAAATCAATTAGCCATTATGATATCAATGTTTGCCATGTAGCGCCGACCACTGCGGGAGGAGAACGTGAATAGCTTTAAATAATTGCTTTGCCGTAGCAAGGGGGTGGCTGCCAATAGCGCCTCTGCTGTGTAACACGCAGCAATGTAGTAAGGACGCGCCGTATGTACATCCCCCCTGGCGAGAAATCAGGAACACCCTTTAAATGGGACCAATGCCTTGCCAATAATGCATTCCCAGTACGAACTACTTTACCCAACAAACTTGTCTGCCCCAGTTTCCACAATGAAGTCTATCCTTGTCCTTCTTCCTATCTTCACGCTTGCCGTGGCCCAAAATCTTGACTCATGCTCTGGGGACTTGAAATGCTGCGCCGCAGTAACGCCATACACCGCATTGCCAGAGGAAATTCTCGCTGAATATGGAGTGCGCCCTGATCCTAACGCCAATATCTGTGGCAATGGTAATCACGACTTAACTCCCATCTTAGTTGAGCAGTAGCTGATGATCCGATACTCGTAGGCACCGCGGTCGAGGATCAGTTCGATGCTGATATTTGTGAGTCTGTGGGCCATGAACTTCAGTGCTGTGACCCACGCCAGCCGGATGTTCAGCTCGTAAGCATATCCCTCCTGCTTGGATCCCATATATTGCTGAAAATTGTGCCAATATCTAATAAATGGTTGGTAGAACGAGGACTTGACATTTGGTTGCCACAATGTCTCGAGCACTGTGATGGATGTCTGAAGGATCGGAAGCGCGGAATATCCAGTAACAGGGCCCTATAGGCAGTCTCAGGGAATATCACCTTACTTTAGATAGACACGCCCCAAGAAGCAGGAGATTGCTGATATAAGTTTATGAGAACGTAGTCTACCGAAAATGATATCACCTAGGTTGCTATACAGACAATGGCAATAATCGTGAGATATACTTCTCCAGTTCCAACCAAGGCTTCGCCCTGAAAATGCGCACAGTCCGGTTTCATCTTAAAAGAGTGAAATGGCGGATGACCAGAGGGTCATCTTGATTTTATAACTAGCACCATTGACGACGTCTAGGCGGTCCAATATGGTAAGCCTATTGAAAGACCTCGTTACCCTCTTCTCATGTGAAGCTTCTGGACTATGCTCAATTGCGTCTTTACTATACATCACGGATGGGAAGAGTCAGTCACAAAGAGTCAGGCAACTTGCTCTCTAATCATCATTGCCATGGATAGGGGAATAAGGTGGAGGAGCCGGTTCGTATGGCGGAAGCTGTTCTGGCTCATCCTCAGCCGGCAATCGTCCGCCTGGGAGCATTTGAGCATCTTGATAATGCAACCGACTGTGCTCGTCCTGGTTCTCGTTGTTCATCAGTATCATTGAAGGCCGAGGTGAATCCGGGCGCCGCACACGCGGTCGAACTCGAGGAGGTCGTGGATATGCCGGATATGGCCCTGGACTTGGCTGTGCCGGCATGCTGGCATTGTCATCCTGAGTGTTGTGCTGTGTTGTACAATTATCCAGCTGTAGATTCGGTGGTGATGGTTCTATCCTGATTCTGAAGGGCGGTGGCATTGACGGCACTGCCCTTGAAAAGCCAAACATGCTGAAATGTTTGAACTTTCGGGACTTGTTTCTGCACCAGAAAAATCCGAACACGATGCACCATAGACAACCGACTCCAAAAAACACCAGTCCCACGATGCTTTTTGTAGTGAAGTGAAATTCCCCGTCGCTGCCTCCCTCATGTCGTTTAACCCATATTGCTGGACCCATAAGGTTATAAGGGCAGAAGGAAAGTCATCGAGCCATCTGGTAGATCTAAGTGCTTTGATACCCTTCGTATCCGGGCCATCATCGTTCACTTTCCCTCAGAAAATTATCAGGGTATTAGGACTGGCTTTATATCGCTCAAAGTTTCCGGACAAGCCACATCATTACGAGCATAGCCCACCCCAAGCCACACAGTTACAGACATCTCCTGCATCGCCACAGTAGGCTGGATCAAGGCAACCACAGAGAACAGAGCCCGAATTTTCTAAGTATCAAGCCCAGTATTCGAAAACAATAGGCACCGAACAAGCCGCATGATCTGGCGCCAGTCCGCGCTGATGCCGGTGCTTTAAATGGTGTCGAGGATATCATGGATTTTGACGCCGACGGTGAAATGTAGGGCGTGTATTTGATAAGACTGGATGATAAGGGGTAGATTGAACTCGACAGAAGAATGTATAAGTGAAGTCAAAGAAGGATTGTCCGGGATACCAGGATACAACGAGCTAGCCGTCCTGGCTGCGGAGGGTGCTGGATAAAAGATCTGTCCTCAAGTCTCCAGATTGATTGTAGACTGTGCAGGACTGGAAGTCGCATCGACAAAGGCAATAGCCTGCTCCACATGAGTAAATGATGTCTCTCTAGTGGAAGTATCGAGCCCGTGCATCAATTCCGGGACGGTCAATGAGGCCACGGTATCGGGTCCAGCGAAAGAAAACAAAGCCTCATTGCTGCTTGGACCGGAATAAGTCCTGGAGTTCAATGCTGACTTTCCGGCTAAAAATAAATCTCCAATGTGGTGTCTATACTTGCAGGATGTCGCAACAAAGGCGACCATTCTCTAATCCTGGCAGCCACTAATTCTCCCTGTGTGGATCCCTTAACATTAGTGATTAAGATGATATCAAGGACCACTTGGCGACCACAAGCCGGTTCGAGTCTTTCATGGAGGGACTCCATCGTCCTCCTTTGTGTCTCTTTCACCCACGAGAATGTCATGTACGAGCCTTTGGATAATCAAAGACTAATCTGGTGTCTCTTTGTCTGATCTGGTATCATAGGTTCTTCTAGTTCCGTGGCGACGGAGACTCGAGTTAAACTTCCTTTGTTCTCGAGGACGACACTGGTCAAGGGTCGCTCGATCGAGGGCGCTTGTATGTCGTCTCCTTTCAACTATGGATCGATTACCTGTTGGTCATTCATCCGGTGATTCTGCCAACACGGCATTTAAATGACCATGCAACCCGGCCCCGAAGACAATCGCTCCCAAGACTCTTGGACGAACCGACCGAACGCAATCAAGATGAGCGACTTCAAATTCAACGGCCAGAAGGTCAACGTGGATCTCGTTGCATCCATCGCCAAACTGTTGGACGCCAACGGCATTCCCAATGTCATGTGGGGCCCTTATGTTTTGGCATGCTACGGAGCGCCTCTTGTCCTCTACGTGAGTTCTGTTTCTGCGTAGTCTAACCAAGCCTGAGACACTGACCAACGAGTTGATCCCAGGATTTTGCGTTTGTTATCCCGGACCAACACATCGACAGAGCGCGCGAGGTCCTCCTCGCAGCCAACTTTCCCCCCTGCCCCCAAGGGGACGACTGCCACCTCATCCAGCCAATTTGCAGTCTCCCGCATTCCTACGCACACTTCATCCTCGATGATAAGGGCCAACCACCCCGCGGTCACAACCGCCAAACCGGATTTTGGCATCCGTTTCGCCTGGAGCTGCACAAAAAGTCTCAGCTGCTGTGGGCGTTGCCGGACATCCCGCTAGGGGCGCCCGCCCCGGATGATCCCAACTACATGCTAGTCAACGATGATCGGCTCCCAGACTACAACCCAATATTCAAGGCAGGCCGAGCGCCATATACTCACTACCCCGTCAAAATGCCCACTCTTCCGCGCTACGCGGAGTCGTTGGCCTATGGGTATCTTCGCAAGCAGAGATCCGAGGGTGAAGGGGACAGCCTTCGAGCAGGGTTTTTTCTGGGTGAAATGACCTACATCGGCCTGTACTGTAAGCTGAAGCCAGATGACCTTGAACCTCGCATTCAACGCTTCTGGGAGCTTCGGTACCACCCTGACGGCTATCACCCACTGTTTCGTTATAGCGACAGACTGGCGGCGGAATTGGGCACCGCAAATTTCTTCCCCCAGGAGGAGGAAGAAGGAGAGTCACAGGAGAAGACCTGAGGGAAGGCATGATTCCGATGTTGATGCATGTTGGTTAGACTTGCCTGTTCATTGAAGTCTTTTGTCTTGACTTGTTTTCAGCTTTGAACCAAACGTTACTATTTTTATGTCTGCTATATCGCGCTCCAATCCATTATTGATTCTATTCAGATTAATGCTTAGAGGAGAGGAGAGACAGGAGTGGCGGATGTAGAGAAGTCACTGGAGAGGCTTTTTTTGACTGAAATACTTCTTTATCCTCCTGCTGAATATCCACTGAGACCGGATGTGTCAGAGTGCGTTCTTTATCTATTCGTAACGAGCTTGTCGTACAGAGTTCCAACTTCATACCACCACAGTCTAGATAGGTTGAATAGCAAGACAGTAAGAGAATATCAAGCAGGCAAGATCTCCTGTGATAAATAGCTGCTGGGATCGCGTAGAATTACCGGACTCACAACCAAGCATTGAATTGTGAGTGCCAATTCATCATGGAGAACCTCTCAGAAGCAGCCCGTGCTGTCATTACCTCTCTGCAAGCTCTACCAGAGGCTCCAGAGCTACAACGAGCTAACATTGTTATAATTGGGGTCTCGCACTTCAATACCACGCCCCAGGTTTCCGGCCTACGCATGTGAGTTGGTATTCCTGCCTTTATTCACCCACTCTGTTCACAAGCTCATCATTCAGGATGTTGATATCCTAATCTTTGATCGCGACCGTGCTATCTGTACTCTGGACCTCCGGGCTAAATTAGCCTCCCGCTTCCCGGACGAGTTCGAGGACGTACCTGAGCCAGTATCCTCCTGTCTCAATATCCCAGATAGGGTCAAGGTGGACTTCATCCCACAGGAGTTGGTAAGCTTCATGGAAAACTAGGTCAAGCTTTCCTCTCTCATAGTACCAAGGCTAACACACTAATAGGTGCCATACTTTCCGGCTGACGCGGTAACCCTGGAGAAGTGGACCCGAACCATCTTCCTTTCCTTTCCCTGCAGGACCTTCTTGTTTATAAAATCAACAGCTGCAGCATGCGTCCCACAGCTAAGCGATACCAGGATGCAAGGGACGGGCAAGTGCTAGTGAACATTTTGTCTTAGCAGGGGACCATTACCCTTGATGAGTCACAGAAACAGGCTGTCTTGTCGGGTTTGGACGAAATGTTGGAGTATTCCAGGGAGTCAAGACAGTGGTGGGAATCTGCTCTCGGGCTGAGCGGCTCAACGGCGGAGCGATTTTCATAAACATGTTGTTGAGTGGATATATGTAGTGGGAGTTTCGAAACCAGAGATGGTCTGAGGATCGTGAGAGGTACAAGCCAGGTGCAAATTCATTCCTCCATCGAAGCACGACAAAAAGGTCTCTCACGTCGTCGGGGGCGTGAGCAATGGCAAGGGACCTGGATTGGTAAATGTGGCCCTCGCCTACGTGACGCAAAAGGCGCTCTATGTCTTTTCTCTCGTCGGCAGGAAGATCGAACCCCTCCAGGGCAGCATGACCGGTTTGGCCGTGACCGGGTAAATTCTGTCGGGAGATTGCCATCCCACTAAGGGCAACCTGAGCGAGGATACCCACGGGTCCTTGGGTGTCTATCACCCCTCTCCTATACTTGGTGGACAATCAAGTTACCGACACGGAGTAGGTGTTGTCCGCGCCTGGCTCAAGAATGAGGAGGTTTTGTGAATCGAAAACCAAGTCAATTGGAGTAATTGTCCCACTGAACACTTGGAACTGGTACTTTATTTCCGCAAAACTCCACATTCTGATGAATAGCTCTTATGGAAATGTTTCGTGCTCATTCTCTGCAATGTATTCCTGTCATCAAGTGTGAGTTGGCACGTAGGCATCTAACGCAAGTTCCCACTATTGGCCAGTGAAAGTAAAGAGGTAAGCACCTTGCATTGTCTTAAAGCAGTTCAAGTCTAGTTGTAGCCACTTAAATCTCTAGATTGGCGGGATAGCATCATTCCAAGTCAAAAGCCGCAAAATCCGATTGCCCGATAGCGACAGTGGGACGTACTGTAGTGATCTGTAAGACAAACATTTTAACAAGGAAAATGGGTTGCTGATCCGGGATATGGTGCAGAATAGAGGCCGGCTATATACAAGGTGTAGGTACATATTCCAGGTAAAAAGGGAATTCTGAACGTCGGTTATTAGACGTCACCTACCAGGCAGGCGACGGGACAAAGAAGGGTGCGAGCAGCATAGAACTGGTGCATAAGTCACAATTATCTCTGTAGCTAGTGTACTTGACTTTCTGGAGTAATTCTGTGTCGCCCTGTTAGACAGTAAAGCAAGCCTTCCGTAGTAGCCGCCTATTTCCGGATCAGAAAGAGGAAAAAAGCCCCCACATGTAGTCCAAAAGCAGCGGGTGCTGCCTGACAGGTGTGCATCACTTCTCTCAGAATCTACTACCTAAACCAGATGTGATAGGACGGCGTCACGGTATTTCCCCGAACAAGGAGACATATGGCTTAGTCCGAGGCTGCCAAGCTACTTAAATATATGCCCTACTGCTGGGCAGACTGGAATCATCTCCCCTTGCTCCGGAGTTGACACCATTGTTCGCTCTCCCTTCTACGTGCGAACTCGTTGACATCCTACTCTTACCATGACCTTATCCGGCCGTGTGGTGGTCGTTGCTGGCGCATCCAAGGGCATCGGCAGAGCCGTCGTTCTGCGTGCCGCCGCAGAGGGAGCCAATGTGGTCATCAACTACATGTCCGATGTCAAGGGGGCCAACGCCCTGGTTGCGCAAATTGGGAGTGGTCGTGCCATTGCCGTACGGGCGGATATCTCCAAGACCGCGGAGATTGACGAACTTATCAAGGCTACTGTGGCTCGGTTCGGGAGGATCGATGTCCTGATCCCCAATGCGGCCTATGTGCCTGAGAGCGACCTGCGGAGTGTCACTGAGGAGGACTTTGACCGCGCTTTTGCTGTTAATGTCAAAGGACCTTGTTTCCTCGCCAAGGTTGGTGCAACCGCCCCAGTCTAGATTCCAGGGACCAATGCTGACACCAGTCCTCGCAGAAAGCTTTGCCTCACATGCAGCCGGGCAGCACGATCATCTTTATCTCGACCGATCTTACCGATGCGTCTTCAGTGCCGTCACAATTCCTTCTTTACGTATCGACCAAGGGAGCGATGAACCAGATGGTCAAGGTTCTCGCGCGGGACCTAGCGAGCGCGGGAATCCGCGTCAATGCCGTTTCCCCAGGCGCCACAAGCACGGAGTCCTTCCACAAGGCCATGGACGAAGCTCGGGCAAAAATGATTGCGAGTCATAACCCGTTCAATCGGATCGCGGAGCCTGATGAAATTGCTGCAGCGGTTAGTTTGCTGTGGAGAAAGGATAGTGCTTGGATCTCAGGCCAGGTTCTGAGAGCCAATGGCGGTGGTGTGGTCTGAAGTGGTGCTTTGCATAGACATATGGTAACCAAATGATTTTGAAGGGCTACAGATCAGAGTAGAAGAGAATACACTAGACTAACAGCTTGACAAAATATGTCTGTCCATTCGATGTATATCTATAATTGCAACGGTGTCAAACTCATACTACTCCATCCTTGCAGTACCTTGCCTTTTTATGATTGCAGAGTAGACATCATTACCGACCAGAAACTAGAACGCCCGGTCTGCTCCTAGGGGACACCAGCACAACATCATGACAATTTTGCCGCCCCACCGGCTCGGACTTAGTGAGCGTTCCAAAGCCCGAGATGATTTCGACCTCCGAACCTCCGAAGAGTAGATGAACGTCAGAGACTGGCGCACTGGAGCAAGTGCTGGGGATGGTCCAGATATCCTGCTACAGCATATGGGCCGGTTGAGTTGACGAGGAGGACGATCTGACCGGGGGGACGAAGGTATTTAAATGCTGCCATCAACTGCTTAAGGACGTTATTACCTAGACGGCATATTGAGCAACATCTTTGAGACTCGGCAGCCCAATCTACCATATAAGAAGCGATATTCAAGTGTCCTGACTTCCAGTAATGTCTTCCAGCACGAGCATCCGTGCCGAAAAATCGATCAGACTACCCCCCGCGTCCGGGTTGAGAGACCTCCAACCGGTCCCCGTGTACGACGTGACCAAGTTCCCCGATGGGCGAACCCAGAAGCTGCGAAGCCTCCTTGAGCAAGGACATGTTACGGTTGCACCGCTGCGTGATCCGGAGCTGATCCTGCACAGTCACTTGCCGCATGTATGCTCCTTGCCTTAGGCAGATGATTAGGGGGTTTCCTCGGTTGACTTTTGATCTGAAGCTCCTTGGCTCTGCGTATGCGCTGGGCGCCAACAGCGACCAATTGACCAGAACATACGAGCATGAAATTACCCAGTTGGTCCCTATCTCCCGGGGGTTCATCCGAGGCGAGGCAATCTCCAAGGAAAACTGGAGAAATTTCCTGACCCGTAAAGAGTGTGTTATGGTCCCTACGGGAAGGACAAGTTGCTCACCATCCTACTAGGTACACAGTGGCATACCAGGACTTCTTTGATAATGAAGTGAAGGAGAAACAGGGAGACTGGGGAAAGGTTCTTGAAGAGTATCTCTACTCCGGCACGGCACCACTGGTGAACGGCTATACTGGAGGCTGTATGTGATTCACTCTCGACCAGGGACCACAAGCGAGGCTGACCAGGGAGCGAAACAGTGGGCCATCCGTTTATCCATCTCGCCTACGCATACGAGTTCCGCAGCAGAGAGGTAGCGACGCAAGCCCTCAGTCAGGGGTGCACGGAGTACAATCCGGTGCATACTGTCCTTGACCAGGCGCCTCCTGACACATCGAAGTATAAAACTAGCTCCCTGGCCGAGGTCTTTGAGAAGGTGCGACAGGATCCACGACTGGACGGTCTATTCGACGAGCCTGGAATCGCCAACCTCGACGACCTTTGCCAGGAGCAAAACCTTGCCGTCGTCCTAGAACACTGGAATGCTTGGGAAGTCACCGACCTCCTAGCCCAGTTTGAAGAATGCTGCGACCTGGCCGTCCTGCTGGCCTTGAGCAATGGGAACCCACGGGACTCGTTTGACTTTTTCAATGTTCATATCATGACCGTTGCCCACGCGTTGCGAGTGTTGTGGCATTACTTCCCCACGGACCGCCGCGTCTCCATCCTGAAACAGTATGCGCTCTTCGGAATCATGACCTACGTTTGCCAGTTGCGACCCCGTTTCTCCCTCGACTGGATCGAAGCCGTCGATGTAGATGGCCGCGACTGGAATTGGGTCGTTGATACCGCATTGGCGCACAAGTGGGCTCTGGACGCCCATTTCTTCAAAGTGGTGCGGGCCCCGAAGGTCTTCGAGGAGACCTTCGGCCGCAAGAACGACTTTTACCTCAAGGCGGCCATCAAATATGTGACTGAATTCGACGGATGGGAGGGCTACGGCCAGGGTGTTGCGGGATTCGTTCCGAGCCGAGATGGATATAGACCCGAGTGAGAGTCGCTTGGATTGCGCACTGATAGCTAGAAGAGATAGCTACGAAGAGCACGTCGTTCATCTTACCATTTCTGCATGGACGCGTAGTTGGAGTAGTACAAGAGGCCTGGAATTCAGGGCCAAGCTAAGTTCCCTTGCTTAGGCTATTTCATATGGCTGACTGTCGAGAGCCATCATGGGTGGGTTAGCCCACAGCCAAAGATCGCATCCATCTCATAGAAGCGGCCGGTAAAGTCCTCATACTGCGCCCACGCGGTGGCCTCCTGGTCTTGTAGTTGAGAAAGCTCCTCCGCAGCCAAAGTCGCGTCACGTACAGCTGGCAGAGGATCCGACAGGATTGAGCCCTCGAGAGACGCCATGTCCATATAGATATGGGGATTGGGCGCTTCATCCCTTGGCGCGCCTGATGCGATCACCTTTTGTCGCGCAGCTCGGGCGTTGCTCACCAAACTCCCCATAGACGCCAAGAGCCAGTCATATTGTGTACCAACAGCCTGTTTTTGTAAGGCCTCATAGCTACGCTCGAGCGTAGGCCAGTATCTGTCTATCACCCATCGATCAGTACATACGCAGACCTCGGTCATGGCGACAACCAGCGCATGCCAAGGAAAATAGAACAGGTTGAACCAGCGCCAGGGGTGTGCTCGAGGATCGCTGAACATTCTCTGACGTCGTTCTAAAATGTCGGCTGCGAGGGCGAGCATCTGGGGCGCTGGTAGCTCCGCAGGGATAAATGTCGGGCTCCTCTGGAGTGGCCGGAGAGCGATAAGTTGCAGGATAGCAGATATCTGCTCCTGAATCTGGCAAATGAACCAGTGAAACGCGACATTTTTGGGGTCACAGTCGGCCAGCAGCTCGTTCGTAGTACGACGGAAGTCGTCCACCGTCTGTTGTCGCATATGGATGTCGGTGATACCTGGTTCGGCAAAGTGGGATAAATCCAAGACACGCAGAGCGCATTGGCCATGCGCAAACATAATGAGAAGCGTAGTCTCCGTTGGCCCGCTTTGCGCAGCCGGTAAGGGATCCACCGTGTCGAAGCCAAAGTCATCGTCGTTGATGTTGGTGAGGGAATGTGTCTGAATCCATGCGGACCGCATCATGCTTTCAGATCCGCGGTTTAACGATGCCTCAAGGTCCAACCAGCCGATCAGGTGCCACACGCGGCGGCGCATCTCGCGTTCAAACGGCGTTACTGGAAATGGAGGATCGGTCATGTGCAGCGAGAGTGCTTGCGCTATGCGAAGGGCCACGCTGAGCATTGTCCAGACCCGTCGGCTGTGATCGTGTGTTCGTGCAGCCACCTGCACCAGCAGTTAGCTAGCCCTGTAGTCTCTCCGCAATGGCAAGGGACTGACCAAGGACAGGACGAGTGCCTGCAATACTGTCAGATGGTTTGTAACAAGAAAGTCGACCCTTGCGAGGGCGGCCTTTGCTTCATCCTTGTATCTTGTCAGTACAGTCTCTTTCCTCTCGCCGAGCAGAGCAAGACATTGGCCTTCCGCCAGGGTCGAGCTGGCCATATAAAGCACAGCGGAGGCCAGGGCCGCAGGTACGGGATCCCCCGGGGCGTAGTCCAAGTAGGGCTTTCCCTCCAAGAGATAGGCGCAAAGAGACGGCCGGTGCAAGATCTTCAAGATCGGGTCGACTTGATGAAGAAAGATCTCGACGAGTCTCCGACGACGCACTGGCTCCGAAGGTAGCTCCCCGTAATCGCCTATGTGTTGCTCTTGTCTCGTCGTGTTGTGGGCAAAGCCGCTGTCCAGGGCGTCATCTCTGCTGTCGGCGGATCGTGGAATCGTCGACTATTACTGTATTTAGAGAAGTCGTTCTACTACCAAGGGCGGACTGCTCACCGGCTGTGGAAGAAACCACTCTTCAGAGGCCTGCAGTGTCCCCGACGGTGATTTTGGCGATTGTCCACTGCGATGTACGGTAGTCTCGCCACAGCGATTGGAGATATCGCCGGTTACTCTCGTCGAGTGGGACAAGTCCTGTATCATCTGCTCTAGCTTCGCTACACGGTTGCCCAGATCTTGTTCTCGGCTTATTGCTTGCTTCCCCGACCGGCCGCGCGGCCACCGTGGCCTCTCGACAGCCACACATGAGATCCCATGCTTTAGGCAGTTTGTGCAGGGGCTTTTTTTGTCGCATTTTACTTTGCGTCGCGTGCAGGCCTGACAGGTTAATCGGACAGCCAAAGCGGGAGGCATGTCTGGAGTCGTCACTGAATATTGAGCTGGGCTGAGTCTATGTAACTTAGGTCGCTGTCGGAGATCATAAATACAGAGTGCCGACTAAGACGGTATGGCACGACCTTTCTTGTGGTGTTTCAGCTTGCAGCAAATGAGTTGTGTAGAGTTGCGTTGTAGACTGGGGAGACACCAACTGCCACAACGGAGTCTTGCCCCCCGCGCAAAGGAATTCTATCAGGCTATTTTAGGTTTTAAAGTGAGGACCAGCTAACTGAGGCCACTAGTGTTCACTAGTGTTGCCACTTCCAGTTTAGTTGCTTAATACACCGTCCGCCGATCACCACCTGCTGCTCCCTCTTTGGAAATGACAACTGCGCCCTCTTCTCATAAGATACCTAGGTTAAGACTGTAAGAAATTACTAGGGGCTGCAGTAGCTAAACATAAACAGATGTATATAAATAATAGTAAGGTCATATAATAGAGCCTAGTCGTATATTAGGTAGAATACCGTCACGTGACTTGGTACCTAGTTTGGATATGATCATATGACCTCACTGTGCCTAACTAAGGCATGCAGCGGTTGCTTAGTAAGCTTGACCACCTGCACATCCTTATGTAATCAACAGGCTCTCCACAACACCGCAATATTGTACTCTCAACGTTTTGTATCGTAGCAGCTGCTTTGGTCCATTGGAGTGATTATTGATATAAATTGTCTAGATTCTTCAGACCCTTGAAATTGGGTTCTAATCGCTTTTCATGACTCCTTCATACAACTGAAAACACCTATGACGAGGTAGCCACCCATGATTTGCCTCTAATAAAGGATAAAAAAGGAAAAGAAAATAGAAAAGAACAGAGAAAAGAGGAAAGAAAAGAAAAAAGTTGTCTCAAACTGCCGGCTTCGCCTCGTGGTATAATACTTCGTCGATACTAGTACTATCAGAAAGACCAAGGATCCTCCGGGCCTCCCCAAGAGGTATGTTATATGGCATCGTCTTCTCCTTTTTGACCGGGTCACCACCCGCAGCGAAGATGACATCCTGGAAAAGCCAAAATATTAGCCTACTGAGTTTCTTCATGGCATGCCGAGCTTTCACTCTCTCTCCTTCGGTGGTACTCACAAGCTCCTCGAGACTTCTCTGTCTTGTTTCGACAAGGAAAAAGTAGATGATGGGTACGAAGCAGGCATTCAAAATGGCAAAGATGATATACTAGACGCAAGTTAGATGACCAACCGCCTACAATGCACAAAGACGGTAGACTTACTGTTTTCCAGCCGATATTCTGGAAAGCGGGTGGGATAATCATGACCACCACAAAGCAACACAACCAGTTGCCAGCGCTGGCAAAGGCATTCGCCTGGGCGCGGCATCGCAGGGGTGCAATCTCGGCGCTGTACAGAAACGGTCCTCCAACCCAGGCAAGGCCAAAAAAGCTATTGAAGAGGAACAGAAATCCAGCAGCGACCAGTTGGGAGGTGCGCGAATCCGTGCTTTGAAGCCCAGCGATAACGGCAAAGCAGCAGGACATGCCGACCGTAGTCCACAGGAAGGCCCGACGGCGTCCAAGGCCTTCGATGAGCAAAACGGAGAGAAGCGAGCATAAAGCATACTCCAACCCTCCCATGGCAGCGACCAGGTGTGATGTGCTGGCAGTGAGGCCAAACGACTCCTGCAGAATCTTGTTGGCGTACGTCGAGACCAAGTTGATTCCGGATAATTGTTGCGCAGCTTGCATGAAGAATCCAATGGCGACGCGATGGAACGTCTTGGTCTTTCCGTTGTCCAGCATTTCTCTGTAGGAGAATGGAGCGAGCTCACTCTGCGCTTCGAAAGAGGCGATGATTGCATCGCGTTCAAAGACCAGCTCCGGGTGGTCGACGGGCAGGTTTCGAAGCTTCGACAGGTTGTATGTGCCCTGCAAACATTGTACGGTCAGCAAGAGGTTTTCACCATTGGAAGAGCGTGGTTACGGCAAGCAAAAGGACGAAACACATACCTCTTCAACCAGACCGTGTTTGATCAACCAGCGAGGGGACTCGGGAAGAAAATTGATGAATATGAAGACGATCAAGGCAGGGAACAGCTGGATGCCGACGGGTGCGCGCCATTGCGCTTGACCCTTTACAAAGAAGAAGCCATAACCAACGAGCTGGCCGCAAGCAACGCCGAATGTCTGTAAACCTCCCTCAATCATGACTAGATGAAGTCAGCTATCTAGTCCTTCGAACACGAGAGAAAGGGGGAGGAGAACTGCTTACCCCAACGCCCGCGACTATGCGCTTTCGCACACTCAGACTGCCATGACGGCACCGTAGCTACCTGTAAACCGAGCCCGATGCCGCTGAGCACGCGACCCAGTGTCAGCTGAGCTACAGCCCAGGCACTGGTCTGTAGCGTGCCGCCGATCAGCATGAAGAGCATGCCGAACCAAACGGTCAGACGACGACCGAGGCGATCACCGAGGTCCAAGCAGGCGAGGGCACCGACAAGAGCACCAAGTTCAAAAGAGGCGATCACGATGCCCTGGACGTTGGCGTTCTTCATCTCGGGAAAGACAGATGTGAAGGAGTCCTCGGTAATAAGACCGCCCTGTATTTGTTTCTTAGACCGGGCGTGTCATGTTGGGAAGGGCTTGAGAAGTGGAGCATACCATAACGCTCATGTCATAGCCGAACAGCCAAAATGCACATGTTGCAATGCCTGCGACGAGGAAATTGAGCGTCAGACCAGACGCGCCCATGTGGGTGGTGTATCTGGTCAACGGGAAGATGGCCATGATTGCGGAATGTTAGTTGAGATAGATCTGATGGGATTTTGACCCAGGACATATCACAGAGCAGCAACCTGTCTTTATAGATCTTCAGAATATGGGGTTTGATGGGGTTTGATGGGGCGATAGTGCCAATCCCCAGGCCAAGGTCCGGGGGGAAGTATAAATCCCCGGAAGGCATGCAGCTCCGAGAAGGTTTGCTATTACGGCGGGCTTGCAGCTGCGAGAAGGTTTGATATTGCTTGCGAGGGACACAGCTCGGCGTGGTCCGGAAAATGGTCGGCGTGGTCCGGAAAAACCTGGCTCAACTTCGACATACGTTGGACCTCAGCGTGTGTCGTTAATTTCTTTATATAGTATTTTATTCTATTATGTATATACTCTGTAGTATACTTACTATGCTACAGTGAATATATATATATATATCAACCTTACCTACCTACATTCTCTTCCCTTTACTTACTCTCTGCATATGCATAATATTAGAATAATTCAGAATTTACTAATATTCTATTAACATCACGTATATGATGAGCATAAATTTATATATATTAGGGGGCGATCATGGCAGGTATATGATTTGAATTGATGCTATTCAAAATCGAACCTTTACCTTGGTGTTTATGGTTGGAGAGGGTTGAAACTTAGAATAGAGTGGTGGTGGTGGTATCTTAACTATATGCTATAACATGTGTCATGCACCTTAAAATTAATTCAAGGTTCGACACACGCTGACCTTCTTTCCGCCGGACCACGCCGACCGTTTTCCGACACACGCCGAGCTGCAAGCCCGATATTGCCGAAGGCATGCAGCTGCGAGAAGGTTTGATATGACGGAGAGCCAGGTTTTTCCGGACCACGCCGACCATTTTCCGGACCACGCCGAGCTGTGTCCCTGATATTACGGAAAGCATGCAGCTCCGAGAAGGTTTGATATTATGGAAAGCATGCAGCCCCGAGAAGGTTTGATATTGCGGAAGGCAGTCATCCCCGAGATTGGATCGCCATCATTGTCTCCACAGGTCCATACTGACTTTGGTAACTCCCGAGACCCTCAAAACCAAAGCACTCTGGAAGATGAGGTGCGGGGAATGGCAGTAGGAAAGTACGGGGAATGGCAGTGGGCATGAATCTGTCTCCGGAAGGGAACCGAGTCCGGTGTGCCCCGGTGTTGAAAGTGAGATGTGTGAGGTAGGGGCGTGATTTTGTCGAGGTTTCTCCCGGCAAGATATATAAAGGATGCAAAGCCATCTGACCTTTCATTCCATCATCTGTGTCTCAAGTTGCACATTCCCTTAACACTATATCGCACGATGCCTTCCGCTTTGAACCAGTTTGGCGGCAGCCCACTGTAAGTGTTAATACCTGTTGAATGCACTCTACGTTTTGTCCTTACAACATCGCTGACATGTGGCTGAACCCCCAACAGTTCTCTGAAGGTCATTGGGCACAATGCGGGAACGTCCATGGACGGAGTCGACCTCGTCCTTGTCCACTTCACCCAGGACAGCCCGAGAACACCGTTAAAGACGCAGCTCCTGTACTATGGAGAATATGCGATGCCGAAGAAACTCAAGGCAAGAGTCATGAAGCTCATTAAGGAGAACAAGACGACGCCCGAGGAAATGGCCATCGTCAACATCCAGCTGGGTGAGGTCATCACCGACGCCGTCAATTGGTTTGCGCAGAAGCACAATTTCAGCCTGGAATCGGACGTCGATCTGATTGGGGGCCAGGGCCAGACTATCTGGCACCTACCCCTGCCGGAGCTCTTTGAGGGCAATCAAAGCCGTGCCCATCTCGACATGGGTGAGATTGCCATCATAGCCGCTGGCACGGGTGTCACCTCGCTTGGCAACTTTCGGGTGTCAGATATGGCTCTCGGCCGGCAAGGCTGCCCGCTATTTGCGGCTCTCGACTCCCTCCTCCTGAGCCACCCGACGCTCAATCGTGCTGTGCAGAACATCGGCGGCATCGCCAACTTTTCGATCTTACCCCGAGGCGCTGTCGAAGGGTGCTACGACTTCGATACGGGACCTGGCAACGTGTTTATCGATGCTGCTGTGCGGTACTTCACCGGCGGTCAACAGGAATATGACAAGGATGGTGCCATGGGCCAGAAGGGCAAGGTTGACCAGTCTATTGTCGATAGAGTGCTGCAGGGGCCGTACTTCGTGCATGATATACCCAAGACTACTGGCCGAGAGACGTTTGGGGATCGCATGGCGGAAGATATCTGCGA